GTCCCGTGTCGGTGTGAGATGAGGGTCTGGGGCCAGAGCCAGGGGTGGGGGTGCCTGCACCAAGCCACATGTACGATGAATTTGGGGCATTGTTCCTGGCTATGTGTGGCCTTTGTGCCTGGTTCTCAGGATAATTTGTGACAGGCTAGATATCCATCTAATGAACAATTTTTTGTTTAAAGCTGGTTCTTGCTGCTCGGAACTAGAAACCAGGAAAGCATGGCACAACAAAGCTAAAGGGATTGTGGATGGCATCACTGAGGGTCTGCTGCTCAGGAGAAGAGAGGATTTCGTTTGTTTACATCTGTTTTGTGTAGCTACATTCTAGAAGGCCTGGTGACCAGGTCGTTGTGGGGTCTAGAACTCTTGGCAGAGGTGGCTGAAGCCTCTGGGGGAGGCAGGGATGTGCTGACTGGACTATTTTAGGGAGACCAGCCATGGTTTAGGCTCCAAGGTCCTCTCTTGGAAGGCTGAGGTGGGAGGATCTTCTGAGGCCAAGAGTTCTAGATCAGCCTGGGCAACAGAGCTAGACCTCATCTCTACAAAAAAAATTTTCTAATTAGCTGTACATGTTGGTTTGTGCCCATAGCCAAAGCTACTTGAGAGGCTGAGGCAGAAGGATTGCTTGAGGCCAGGAGTTCAAGATTAGCCTGGGCAACAGAGTTCGAACTATCTGTACAAAAAAATAAAAAGTTAGCAGTATATGGTGGTGTATGCCATGGTCCCAGCTACTGCAGAGGCTGAGGTGGGAGGATCACTTGAGCCCAGGAGATTGAGGCTATAGTGAGCTGTGATTCTCTCTTAAAAAAAAAAAAAAGCCAGGCGCAGTGATTCACACCTGTAATACCAGCACTTTGGAAGGCCAAGGCAGGCAGATCACCGGAGGTCAGGAGTTCAAGATCAGCCTGGCCAACATGGTGAAACCCTGTCTCTACAAAAATATAAAAATTTGCCTGTAATCCCAGCTACTTGGGAGGCTGAGGCAGGAGAATCGCTTGAACCTGAGAGGCAGAGGTTGCAGTGAGCCGAGATCGCACCATTGCACTCCAGCCCACGTGGGCTCACTGCAATTCACTGCAACCTCTGCCTCCCAGGTTCAAGCAATTCTCCTGTCTCAAAAAAAAAAGACGGCCGGGTGTGGTGGCTCACACCTATAATCCCAGCACTTTGGGAGGCTAAGGCGGGTGGATCACAAGGTCAAGAGATCGAGACCATCCTGGTCAACATGGTAAAACCCTGTCTCTACTAAAAATACAAAAAATTAGCTGGGCATGGTGGCGCGTGCCTGTAATCCCAGCTACTCAGGAGGCTGAGGCAGGAGAATTGCTTGAACCCAGGAGGTGGAGGTTGCGGTGAGCCGAGATTGTGCCATCGCACTCCAGCCTGGGTAATAAGAGCGAAACTCTGTCTCAAAAAAAAAAAAAAAAAAAAAAAAAAGAAAAGAGAAAAGGATCACAAGACTGATAACGAGTGTGCTAGGGGAGCTGACGTTCTCCTGAATGTTGGTGGCCCTGTACTCAAAAACAGCCACCACCTTGGGAAATGTGGCAAATCCCATGGCTTTTTCACACTCATGTGTCTTCTGGCCTAGAGATGCCATTTCTAGAAATTTACTCTCAGCTGCATTTGCTCCCATGCAAAATGCATGAGCCATGCTGTTGCCTGGTGCAAGCAAACAGTGGCAACGACTGCCCTGTCCACCAGTGGGAACCCGGCCCTGTTGAAGAGAGATGCTACGTCTGCCCGGTAGCAGAGAGAATGAGCATGCTTGCTAACATGCTTTATTTTTTATTTTTATTTTTGAGACAGGGTCTTGCTCTGTTGCTGAGGCTGGAGTGCAGTGGCACGATCTTATCTCACTGCAACCTCTCCCTCCCGGGTTCAAGCGATTCTCCTGCCTTAGCCTCCCGAGTAGCTGGGATTACAGGTGCCCGCCACCACGCCCAGCTAATTTTTTGTATTTTTAGTAGAGATGGGGTTTCACTGTGTTAGGCAGGATGGTCTCTATCTCCTGACCTTGTGATCTCCCACCTTGGCCTCCCAAAGTGCTGGGCTTTACAGGCGTGAGCCACTGCGCTCAGCCTTTTTTTTTTTTTTTGAGATAGGGTCTTGCTTGTTGCCCAGGCTGGAGTGCAGTGGTACAATCTCGGCTCACCGCAACCTCTGCCTTCCAGGTTCAAGCAATTCTCCTGCCTCAGCCTCCTGAGTAGCTGGAACTACCGGGGCACACCACGATACCCAGCTCATTTTTGTATTTTTAGTAGCGATGAGTTTTCACCATGTTGACCGGGTTGGTCTCAAACTCCTGACCTCAGGTGATCCACCCACCTTGGTCTCCCAATGTTTTTTTGTTTTTTTTAAAGACACATTCTAGGCTGGGCAAAATCCTAGCACTTGGGAGACTGAGAGGAGCAGATCATGTGAGTTCAGGAGTTCAAGACCAGCCTGGCCAACGTGGTGAAACCCTATTATCTCTACTAAAAACACAAAAATTAACCAGGTATGGTGGCAGGCACCCATAATCCCAGCTACTCAGGAGGCTGAGGCAGGAGAATCACTTGAACCCAGGAGGCAGAGGTTGCAGTGGGACTGAGCTCACACCACTGCATTCCAGCCTGGGCGACAGAGTGAGACTCCATCTCAAAATATATATAAATAATAAATAAATATAAAAGTAAAAGACACATTCTCCCTCAACTGCCCAGGCTGGAGTGCACTGGTGCAATCATAGCCCACTGCAGCCTCCAAACTTGGATTCAGCGATCCTCCTACCTTGGCCTTTGGAAGTATTGGGATTACTGGCATGAGTGCCTGGCTAGGATGTTTTCTTATGAATAAATATGTACAACTCTCCAAGTTAAAATAAGTGAAACTGTAAGTGTAAACAGTAAGCTCCTATTTGTGTATAAACAAACAAACCAACTATATATATATAAATATAAATCTGCTGGTGCATTATAAGCAGAGACTGCTGCCAAAGTGATTCACGAGGAACTGAGAACAGTAGATGCCTGTGGGAGGGAATTTGTGTGGCTAGTGAGACTTACTTTTCTTTTTAATCATTGCAAACTTTCAGTATCTTTTCAATTTCATCAAGTGTGCATGCACCATACAAATAGCAAAACAGGAAAAGAAGGGGACGGGACAGCAGCTCACGCCTGTGATCCCAGCACTTTGGGAGGCCGAGGCAGGTGGATCACGAGGTCAGGAGATAGAGACCCTCCTGGCTAACAAGGTGAAATCCCGTCTCTAATAAAAGTACAAAACATTAGCTGGGCATGGGGGCACACACCTGTAGTCCCAGCTACTCGGGAGGCTGAGGCAGGAGAACTGCTTGAACCCAGGAGGTGGAGGTTGTAGTGAGCCAAGATGGTGCCATTGCACTCCAGCCTGGGCAACAGAGCTAGACTCCATCTCAAAAAAAAAAAAATAGGAAACAATATAACAGAAACTAGAATCTGTGCTAGACATCCCCCACACCCGATATCTCCTGTATACTTTGTTTTCTGTTTTTTGAGACAGGGTCTCACTCCTTTACCCAGGCTGGAGTGTAGGACCTCCATCTCAGCTCACTGCAACCTCCCCCTCCCAGGTTCAAGTGGTTCTCTTGTCTCAGACTCCCGAGTACCTGGGATTACAGGCACCCACCACCATGCCCAGGTCATTTTTGTATTTTTAGTTGAGATGGGGTTTCACCGTACTGGCCAGGCTGGTCTGCAACTCCTGACCTCAGGTGATCCGCCCACCTCTGCCTCCCAAAGTTCTGGGATTACAAGTATGAGCCACCACATCTGGCTAGTATCTCTTGAATTTGATAAAATGTGCATGCACCATACAAATAACAAAATATGAAAATGATATAAGGGAAATTGGAATCTGTGCTAGACACCCCCCCACACACAATACCTCCAGTGTACTTCCGGCAGGTGTTTCTGTTGTCACCCTCCTCTCTGCAGTCGATGAAACTGAACCAGCTCATAGAAGCCCAGGAAGCCGCCCAGGATCACCCAGCAAGGGAGTGAGTGGTGGAGCTGGGTCGCGACCCAGTTCTGTGGTCAGGCTTGGTACAGCGCCCTCCGGGGAATCAGCTGCCCAGGGCCAGTCACTGCTCAGCAGGGCCCCAAGACTGAACCATGAAGATGGATAAATCTAGAAACTTCGTTCTGGACAGAATCTGTGAGAAGGATCTCCCCGCAGTGGAAAGGCCTGTCATCACGGATTAGGTGGGAGGCCAAACCTGGCAAACCTGGCCCCACCCAGTGCCACCTGGGTAACCTCCTGACCTCCAACAGGAAATCTTCCCACTGTGAACCTCATCCACGTTCCCATTGAGGAGGACGCAGGAGGAGTAAATAAGATGACAATTGAGAGAGCCGCTCCTCCCAAGCAGGTGCACAAAAAATCAAAACAATAACAGGTCTCTCAGACTCAAATGCCAATTTCCAAAACCTCTGAGCTGCCCGGGCTCTCTGTCTCCTGGGTCCAGATGGCTGTGATATAAACACTCCTGTTGTTTGCTACGTTTGTCCGAACGCTCATTCATTCAACTCACATCCATCCACCCACGCGCCAGACCCCGGTGATCCCGGCGCGGTGGGAATGTGTCCCCACTCCTTGCACGTGCCACCCCCCAGGCCCGCGTGTCCCCAGCTCACAGTCACCCCCCATCCCCCGGTGCTCCTTGGTACTCGCGCTCGGACCACACCCGCCGCCCACACGCACCCGCGGCCCAGGCCACGCAGACCGGATCCCCCACCCGCGCCTCCAGGGGCGCCCCCCTTGCGCCACAGCACCCGCAGCCCGCTGGGCGTCAGCGCCTCCGCGCAGGCTCCGCCCCTCACGCCCGAGGCGGCCAGTGAGCGCCGCAGCCTGGGCCGGCCCCGCCCCGCCCCGGGGAACCCCAGCCGCGTATTGGCCGGTCCGGGCGCAATTTCCCCCGCACGTGGGGCGGGGGCGGGGTGAGTGGAGTGGCAGCGAATCCCCGCCCCCGCCTCCCCGCCCCCACCTCCGTGCCCGGCCCGCCCCCCGCGGCGCCCAGTCCAGCGCTAGCCGCCCGCAGTCCGGGACCCCGGTGTCTGGCTCCCCGCGAGCCGGGACCCCGCGATGGCCAAGCGCAGCTCGCTGTCCATCCGCATCGTGGAGGGAAAGAACCTGCCCGCCAAGGACATGTGAGAGCGGCCGGGGGGTGGGAGCCCCAACTTTCTGGGGAGGGGCACTGACCCCCAGGACGCCTGACCTTTCCGGGGTCCACCCACAATTAGAGCAGCGGAGAGGGTGCGGGAGTGCGGCCGCGGTGGGGGATCTGAGGGGAAAATGGGGACAGTGACATTTGCTGCGAGCACCAGACGGGGGTGACAAGAGGGGGACGAGTGTCACGGAAGGTGGGGTTGGGGGGGCTGGGAACTGGGGAGGGGGCGGGAATCTGTCAGCGATCGGCGGCTCACCAGGGAAAGCGGCTTTGATAGGACCGGAGCTGGAGCGGGGTAACATGCCAGGGGAGACGTCTTGGTGGTCTGCCCCCGAGGTGCTGTTGGAGGGGATGGGAGGGCCCCCCTGCAAAGGAAGGGTCTTCCTCAGTAGTTCCAGAGCCCTTAACGCCCAGGCGTGTGCACCTGAAGCACATGTTGGGGCCCAGGGGCTGTCCCTGGGCTTCCTGCTGTGCACTTGGGTAGGAGGGACTGGCATGAAAAGTGAGAACAGGTCAGGAGGCCAGGACTGGTGCAGGACGGTGGGGGAGGGAAGGAGGGTAGTAACTGTCTCTTGTGCCTCAGGCTTTACACCTGAGCCATCCCGTTAATCCTCGCAACCACCTCACGAGGCAGTTCTCTCCGTTCCATTTTACAGCCGAGGAAACTGAGGATCAGAGACCTGAAATACTGGTTCCAAGTGGCTGGCAGAGCAGGGCCTTGAGTCTAGGGCCGCTAACAGGCTCCGACATCTGGGGATTCCCCTGGTCCCTGGCTAGATTTGGGGAGGCTTCAGGGGCCCCTTATCCCACCCTTCTCAGTAGGTCCCAGGGCTGAGCTGCCTGCCCCTGGGCCCCCCATCTTGGCCTTGCCACCACCTTACTCATGTGCAGGCTTTAGGCACCTCCCTGCTCCTAGAGCCTCAGTTTCCCCTCTTTAAACTAGGGGTTGAAATCCCTCTAGAGGAAGAGGGGGAAAGCTCAAAGATGGAGGGGCACTGGCTGCCTGGAGGAGGAGGGTGGGAGGGGGAGAGGGGATCCTGGAGGAAACAGAGTCCAAAGTCTGCAGGACTGCAGTTCTCCACCCCTGGGGCTCCTCTTCGGGCACCCTGGGCTCCTGGATGCAGAGAAGTGGCCAGCGTGGGCGAGGGAGTGGAGCAGGGTGGGGGCAGGCGCTCCGCTCGCACATGTGTATGGTGGCCCCTGTGAGCTTCCCAGCACGCTCAGCGCGCCACCGCCACCACCGAGAGCAGTGCCAGTTCCAGGCCCCCTGGGTCTGATGAGGCCCAGCTCAGCAGTTGCCATGACAATGGGGAAGGGAGGGGTTGAGCATCCCTAGGTGGGTTTCTGCCCTTGGAGGCCTGGAGGGAGGTGGGGCAGAAGCTGGCAGTGAGGTCTGTGGGCTGGGAGGCAGAGGAACTCAGAGAAGGGTCTCAGCCTCCAGGCCCAGCCTTTAAGCACCCTCCCACCCCACCCCCACCACCACTGGCATTAGGAACTAGGTCATCTTGGCCTCTTCTGGCTGGTGGCGGCTGGGAGGAGCAGCCCCTCCGTCTGTTGCCTCCCTCCTCATCCCCACAGCAGCTGGCCCTAGTGCCTGGCTCCAGGCTCTCACCAGCCCAGGGCAGTGAAGCCCTTGAGCTGTGCCCACGAAGAAGCCAGAGGCCTGGCTGCCAGTGCTTTGCCTCTGGGCAAAGGGATTTCATCTACAGGGGAGGGGTGCCTTGGAATCTCCCTCCTCGCCCTGCCCCCTGCCTGTCCTACTCACATCCCCTTTGCAAGTTCCCTATCTTCCCGTGTCTGACGGACACAGCTCTGACCTGTCAGCCGCCTATTAAACCATCCCATAAACTCAGTCCCTCATTCGTGGGCTACCACCCTTCACATCTCTGCCTTCACCCACGTGTGGGGACTTCTGCCTTCAAGCACTCTTCAGTCCTCCAGAAAACTCGTATTCTTCCTTCAGGACCCCTCTCAAACTTCTCTCCAGGACTTGCCCTGATACCCTTGGGCAGAGTTCCTAGCTCCTGGACTCCCCACCCCCCCCTCCCCCCCACCCCTGCCCAGCACTTTAAGTGACAAGAGGAAACCCCTGGTGAGGCAGTGCCGCCCCCGAGCGCTGTCCCAGCTGACTGCGAGGGCGGGGACCGTGACTCATTCACCCTGGCATTCCCGGTGCCCGGGGTCCACAGTAGGAGAGAATAAGAGGTGTTGAGAACTTCCCCGACTTAATCCTCTTCTTAGCTTTATAAAGTAGACTTCCTTAATTTGCACATGGGGAAACTGAGGCTCAGAAAGTGAAAGTCGTTTGCCAAGTTGATATAGAGGGTAGGTAGAGAAGTCAGGATTCAGAGTGCCTTTGTCTGCTGCCGACAGGCCGAGAATCCAAGGCTGCCCATGGCTGCAAGCTTGCAGCTGGGCTCAGTGGGACTGAGCCTCGGAAATCCTATGCAAAGCATCTGGCTGCAGAGTTGGGCAGGGGTTTGGAGATCACGGGAGGCCCTCACTGAGTACTGGAGTGTCACTGTGCCTCACCAGCACCCCGCCTATCTTCTGGGCAGAATCCCCGACAGCCAGGGCTTGCATACTTCCAAGGACAGGGAGCTCACCACCTCTCACAATGGCTCATCTTGACTGAGACAGTTCCAAGGAGGGAGCTGTCCTCACACAGCTGCCAGCTGCCTCCCTGCCACTTCTAGTCATGGGTTTTTAGTCCCTAAAGGACACGGAGCACAGCCGCATTCCTCATCACTGGTAGCTTTCAGAGCCTGCCCGTCCCTGCCCTGCCTCTTCCCACTGTCCTCCATCCCCATGTACCTAGGCAAGAGCAAGTCTCCTGATGACCAGTGACCCAGTGCCTCCCACACCAAGTGGCCCTGGGGACTGGCCCAAGGCTATTTCAGGGTTTTCCCTGATCCTCCCCCTTCCACAGCCTAGAAACTGCCAAGGCCCTAAATATAGAGGCCCCGAAAGTAGCCAGATGGGGCCAGTGGCAACTGGCTTGGGGAAGAAGAAGTGAGAGAGCACTTCTGGTAGCCTAGGGGCCTCACTAGCCAGGGCAGAAGGAACTGGGCAGGGCACAGGTCCCAGCAGCCCACTGGGGACCATGGTTGGGCTCGGGCCCTTAAATCTGGACTCAGCCCACTCTCAAGACTGTCCTCTTCCTGCCCCTCTGATCTGGCCACCCAGCTCTTCAGTCCTTGCACACCAGGGTTCCGGTCAGGCTTCCAGGCCTTTGGAAGCAGAAGCAGCCCAGTAGTGGGGGACAGTTCAGAGAGGTCCCATCTTGCCTCAGCCAGCACTGACCTCTCCCTGCCTCCTCTGAGCTCCTTGTAACGCTCCTGGGTCCTGCAGCCCAGCCCAGCATCTGAGGTGCCCAGGGGCCTGACTGCTTAACACCTGCAGTGCCCTGGCTTTGGTTTGGTGGGATGCAAGCTGGGGTATTCACAGGGGGCTCCCTGGAGGAGAAGGCTCTTTATTTTATTTATTTATTTGTTTATTTATTTTTGAGACAGAATCTTGCTCTGTTGCCAGGCTAGCTTCCTGGAGGAGGGGCTCTTTACTTATTTATTTTTGAGACAGAATCTTGCTCTGTTGCCCAGGCTGGAGTGCCGTGGTACCATCTTGGCTCACTGCAACCTCCACCTCTGGGGTTCAAACGATTCTCCTGCCTCAGCCTCCCCATTAGCTGGGATTACAGGCGTGCACCACCACACCCAACTAATTTTGTATTTTTAGTGGAGATGAGGTTTTACCATGTTGGCCAGGTTGGTCTCAAACTCCTGGCCTCATGTGATCTGCCCTCCTCAGCCTCTCAAAGTTCTGGGATTACAGGCATGAACCACAGCGCCTGGCCAGGAGGAGGGGGCTCTCGAATGCCCTCAGGGGGAGGTTACAGGCAGAGTTGCAGACAGTGCTAACATTCACTGATCACCTCCAAGACCTTCTCATATGGTCTCAGGACACAGGGAGGCTACCTTGTGAGCTGGGGTTACACTTCCCCCTTTTTTTTTTTTTTTTTTTTGAGACAGAGTTTCGATGTTGGTACCCAGACTGGAGTGCAATGGCGGGATCTAAGCTCACCGCAACCTCTGCCTCCTGGGTTCAAACAATTCTCCTGCCTCACCCTCCTGAGTAGCTGGGACTACAGGTGCGCACCACTGTGCCCAGCTAATTTTTGTATTTTTAATAGAGACGGGGTTTCACCTTGTTGACCAGGATGGTCTCGATCTCTTGACCTCATGATCCACCCACCTCGGCCTCACAAAGTGCTGGGATTATAGGCGTGAGCCACTGCGCCTGGCCCACACTTCCCATTTTATAGGTAGGAAAACTTGAGTCTCAGCAGACGTTTCCTGTCTGTATCCAGAGAGCTTCGGGAGCCATTTGCCCCAAATGCCTTCCTCTGCTGGAAGAGCCCCGTTTGGGAAGGGAAGCAGAGCTTGGAATTCCCCACCCTCCTCCGTAGAAATATCCTTCCTTTCTATGGACGCCCAAGGGACAGCTCTAGAGACAGCGCTCACTCACCCACTTTTACCCAGTGCCAGCCCTAGGCCTGGCTGGAGGCCTCTCCCAACTCCAGGAGCCCCCCAACAACCTGAGACCCTTAGAACTGACCGCGGGTTTGCCTTCCCCCGCCCCTCTTTCCCCAGATATGTTACATTTATTCACTCATCAGTTTATTCATTCGTCTGTACGTTCCGCAGACACTCCGGGGCCGCCTGTCGCCTGTCGTGTGCCAAGCCCTCTCAGGGCCCTGGCCCCAGGTAGCTCCCAGAGCAGGTGGGAGGCAGCTGATCACTACTAATCTGGATGAGGTGGGCAGGCAGTGTGAGCCCAGGGAGGACTTCCTCCCTGTCCCACCCCAGGGAAAGGGAGGATCCTGACAGGGCTGAGGGCAGACTGGGCAGGAGGGACAGCAGTGTCTGGGAGGGCAGGAGCAAAGGCTCCAGGGAGAGTAAGGGGCTAGACTTAGTGTGGAGGGTAGGGGTGGCGGGAGCTTGCCTGGGGCAGTTGCTTGGAGCTGTTTTGGGGGAGGCAGGGATGGGGTATGAGGGCATAGAAAGGAGGAACGTTCTATCCCCTGCAGGAGCAACAGGAGGTTTCAGTACCCTCTCCCTTTTCTTTTCTTTTCTTTTTTTTGGAGATGGGGTTTCACCATGTTGGCCAGGCTGGTCTCGAACTCCTGACCTCATGATCCACCATCTCGGCCTCCCAAAGTGCTGGGATTACAGGCATGAGCCACCGGGCCGGCCAGTACCCTCTCCCTCCCCTCCCTGTATCTTCCCCCTCCCTTACCCCCTCACTCAGTATTCCTCTCCCTCTTAACTCTCTCCCTCTCACCCCCTCATCAGTTTCCCCCTCCCTCTAACTCTCCTCCTTCTCTCTCCCCCTCCCTCTCTCTCCCCCTCCCTCTCTTTCCTCCTCCTTCTCTCACCCCTCACTCAGTCTCCCCCTCCCTCTTAACTCCCTCCTCTTACTCTCCTGTCTCTCTCTCTCCCCCTCCCTATCACCCTCTTCCCTCTTACTCGGCTCCCTCTCTCTCCTCCTCCCTCTCAGCCTCCTCCCTCTGTCTCCTTTTCCCTCTCCCTCCCCTCCCTGTCCGTCCCCTTCCCTCTCTGCTCCTCCCTCGGTCCCTCTCCCAGTTTCTCCCCCTCCTCCTCCCCTCCCTCTATTTTCTTCCTCTCCCTCCCCATCCCTGTCTCTCCCCGTCCCTATCCCTCCCCGACAGCTCTCCCTCCACCTACTCCCAACCCTGCCCAAGAAAGGGGAGCCCTGGTGCGTGTTCCTTCCCTCACCATCCGCTCCCGGGCTGAGGGCGGGGGCCGGTGTTTGGCCGGAGGAGCCTGCGGTCTCCAACCCCCAGACCCGCAGACTCAGCCTCCCCTCTCTTCCCCGCGCTCCTCCCCAGGGGCCGGGCAGAGGGAGGGGCGTGCCGCGATGCTCCGCCCCCACCCCGCCCTCCAGCCCCGCCCCTGCCCGTCTGTCTTGCAGCACCGGCAGCAGCGACCCCTACTGCATCGTGAAGGTGGACAATGAGCCCATCATCAGGTACCGCCCCACCCCAGGAACGAGGGACGCTCCGCTTTCCCCGCAAAGGGCTGTGAATCTTGTTGTGAGTTTTGTACGGAGATGGGAGGGAGCTTGGAGCACCTGATCCCCTGCCTGGGATCCCCACCTCGCCCTGACACCCTAGCTAGGAGGTGAGAAAGACTTTCCGGAAACTGGCCTGGCCAGGGGCTTCTCACCGGACTCTTCATCTGCAGCAGTCATCACAGTCTCCGGGAGAGACTGATGCTGGAGATTTGTAACAGCAGCTCCCGTTTGTGGAGCCAGCCCTTTTCCACCCGTTTAGTTCTTGCAATTAGCGAGATAGGATATCATTAGACCTCATTTATAGACAAGGAAACTGAGGCTCAGGGAAACTAACTACCCTGTCCAAGGTCGCATGCCTAGTAAGTGGCAGAGGCACACTGGAGCCCAAGTCTGGCCACCCCAGAGCCTGAGCTCTCTTCCCCTCCCTGGCACTAACGGGGGGACTGTCCCCTGAGAGTCCCACAGTGATTATTCCCTGAGACTGGGCACCCCAGACTGCACCCCAAAGAGCCACTTCCCTGGGATGCCCCTTCCTCTGTGGTCTCCATGATCTCTGGGCAGGGTCTTTGCTGTCCCCTCCCCTCTTTCACTCAGGCTCCTGCTTCCAAGTTCATGGCAGTGCTGCCCTGCTGTTCTGCCCACCTGAGTGCCCATGGCCTACTCCTAGCCAAGGCCACCAGATCCCCAGTCCTTCCCCACCTGCAAGCAGAGTCCCAGTCTTTCTCGAGGGTCTGCAAACCACACACAGAAAGAGGGAGAGGGGAAACAGGCCTGAGTTCAGATGACCTGCCTGAGAAGTGGTTGGCGGTGGGCGGGGGAGGGGGGGTCCTCTGAGCTTCCATCTGGTCCCTTGGGGTCTTCTTCAGCATCTCCCGCCACCCACTAGCCTGCTGAGAGCCATGAGTTGAAGGCTCTGATCCACGGGGGTTTAACCAGAGCTGGGTGGGGCTGGGAGGCCAGGTTCTGCAGCCACCCTGAAGCAGCTATCCTGTGACCTGAATGAAGCCAGCACCTGCCAACTGTGGTCTCAGTTTCCCCAAATGTAAAACAGCTGGAGAGGATGGGCACAGTGGTTCATGCCTGTAATCCCAGGACTTTGGGAAACTGAGGCAGGCGAATCACCTGAGGTCAGGAGTTTAAGAGCAGCTTGACCAACACAGTAAAACCCCATCTCTACTAAAACTACAAAAATGAGTTGGGCGTGGTGTTGGGCACCTATAATCCCAGCTACCCAGGAGGCTGAGGCAGGAGAATTGCTTGAACCTGGGAGGCGGAGGTTGCGGTGAGCTAAGATGATACCACTGCACTCCAGCCTGGGCCGCAGAGCAAGACTCTGTCTCAAAAATATTAAAGTAAAATAAATAAGCTGAGCACAGTGGCTCACGCCTGTAATCCCATCCCTTTTGGTGGCCGAGGCAGGCGGATCACCTGAGGTTGGGAGTTTGAGACCAGCCTGACCAACATGGAGAAACCCCATCTCTACTAAAAATACAAAATTAGCTGGGCGTGGTGGCGGGCGCCAGTAATCCCAGGTACTCTGCAAGCTGAGGCAGGAGAATCACTTGGACCTGGGAGGCGGAGGTTGCAGTGAGCAGAAATCACACCACTGCACTCCAGGCTGGGCAACAAGTGTGAAACTTTGTCTCATAAATAAATAAATAAATAAATAACAGCCTGTGCCCCATCCAGGGCAGAGAGGAAGGTCAGGGTTAGTGATTGGTGGATGGTAGGTAAATCACATCAGTAGCAGAGCCCGTGGTTACAGCGGTGGGGGGAGATACAAGGAAGGTTCCAGCTAAGGGCCTGAGGGTGGCCTGGGGACGTGCTGAGGGTTCTCTCCTGCAGGACGGCCACCGTGTGGAAGACCCTGTGCCCCTTCTGGGGTGAGGAGTACCAAGTGCATTTGCCACCCACCTTCCATGCTGTGGCCTTCTACGTCATGGATGAGGATGCCCTCAGGTGGGTGACCCCTCTCCAGCTGGGACCCAGACCTGGCCACCCTGACCCATTCCACTGCCAGGACTCCTGGGTCCCTTTTTGCGTCGTCTTTGCAGCCTGGAGAGAGGCAGAGCCTGGGGGCCTGGAAGGGCAAAAGGTGTGAGTGTGTGGCTTCATGGTGCACGCGCCACGTCGCATGAGCACGTCACACGCGTGTGTGTGCAGCCATGCAGGCGCAGGTGTGCATGGACTATACACATGCATGTGGGTGTGAGATGTGAAATGGACACCCAGAGAGCATGAACTTGGCATGTGCGGGCATGGGAGAAACCTATCAATCCCTTCAGAGGGTCCAGAATCCATGGTCTACAGAAAGGCCACAGGTCCAGGTCCATTGGGCTACCCTGCAAATGATGGCCATGTCCACCACCCTGCCCCCACCCTGGGGGGCCCTGAACTTGGTGGGAGGTGGGTGCTGGGCTCCAAGAGGGAAGGTACCAAAGCCATATGCCCAGCTGTGGCTCCGTCTCCCCCCTCTAGTCGGGACGACGTTATCGGGAAGGTCTGCCTTACAAGGGACACTCTGGCCTCTCACCCTAAGGGTAAGATGCCCCTTTCCCTCTCGCACTGGTCTTCCCACTTCCTGGCCTCCCTCCCACTGAGACACCTCCCTTCTAGGCTCTGTCTGGTCTCCTGCTCAGGAAAAGCTATTTCTACTCTCCCCAGAAGCCAGAGTCCGACACCCCTGACCTGTTTTCCATTGTGTCCTCAAGCCTAGTTGTCACTGCCTCTTCCCTAGGACAAAGAGGGGTGGCTAAGGGTGGAATCTGAGGCCTCTGCTGGCAGGAGAAAGGGCCTCTTTACACTCCATTGCTGAAGCGTAGAGACCCCCTACTCCCAATCGGGCCAGCTCCTTCTGTAACCCATGGGGTCCCCTCCACCTGGGCCCCGGTACCGCTATGTCCTAAGTCTGAAGGGTTGGCCCAGAGCCAGTCCAAGCTGGAGGTCCCTTTGAATTATTCCTGGGGTGCAGACATTGTTTTGTGTTACTTTCTAAAATTTTTGTATAGTAAAAAGATTAGAGGCCGGGCATGGTGGTTCACGCCTATAATCCCAGCACTTTGGGAGGCCGAGGCGGGTGGATCACCTGAGGCCAGGAGTTCGAGACCAGCCTGGCCAACATGGTGAAACCCCATCTCTACTAAAAATAAAAATTCGCCAGGCTTGGCGCTTGCCTGTAATCCCAGCTACTTGGGAGGCTGAGGCAGGAGAATCGCTTGAACCCCAGAGGCGGAGGTTGCAGTGAGCTAAGATCATGCCGTTGCACTCCAGTCTGGGTGACAGAGTGAGACTCTGTCTCAGAAAAAAAAAAAAAAATGGAGATGGGTGGGGGTCTCACCCTGTTGCCCAGGCTGGTCTTGAACTCCTGGTTTCAACGGATCCTCCGCCTTGGCCTCACTCAAGTGCTAGGATTACAGGCAAGAGCCACCATGCTCCGCCCAGACGTTATTTTGGGGGGTCAGCCCTGTGGCAGCCTCACTGTGTGTGCCCTTGGGCGGCTCTTGCCTTCTCTGGGCTTCTCTGAGGGTTCAAACCAGTTCTTGGAATGCCATGGGCTCTGTCATCGGAGCCTTTGTGTCCCACTCACCGGCTTCCCCTGCATACAGCTGCTCCTGTCTATGATGCCCGGCCAGGCATGGGGGTAGGGCAGAGGCAGAGGCAGAGGCAGGTTCTGCTGACTCATGGGGCCTCTTAGCCCCTGCCAGGCCAGAGGCCTCTCCAACCTGCAGCCTTAACCAGCCTCTCTGGGGTCTAGTGGCCTCAGTGAGGCCATTCCTCGGGGTCCCTTGCAGCTTCCCCATCCGGGCCTCAGACCCTCCTCCCAGCAACCCTAGGGGAGAGCCACTTTCCTTCGGTTTTAAGATTCGGAATCTGGGCTGGGCACCGTGGCTCACACCTACAATCCCAGCACTTTGGGAGGCCAAGCTGGGCGGATCACGAGGTCAGGAGTTCAAGATCAGCCTGACTAACATGGTGAAATGCCGTCTCTACTAAAAATACAAAACTTAGCACGATGTTGTGGCACATGCCTGTAATCCTAGCTACTCTGGGGCCTGAGGCAGGAGAATCTCTTGAATGTGGGAGGTGGAGGTTACAGTGAGCCAAGATTGCACCACTGCACCCCAGCCTGGGCGACAGAGCGAGATTCCATCTCCGGGGGGAAAAAAAAGAAAAAAAAGATGGGGAATCTGGCTGGGTACCATGGCCCACACTTGTAATCCCAGCATCTTGGGAAGCTGATGTGGGAGGATTGCTTGAGGTCAGGAGTTTGAGAACAGCTTGGGCAACATAGCAAGACTATCTTTTTCTTTCTTTCTTTTTTTTTTTTGAGACGGAGTTTCCCTCTTGTTACCCAGACTGGACTGCAATGGCACGTGATCTCGGCTCACTGCAACCTCTGCCTCCCGGATTCAAGCGATTCTCCTGCCTCAGCCTCCCAAGTAGCTGGGACTACAGGCAGGCATCACCGTGCCCAGCTAATTTTTGTATTTTAGTAGGGACAGGGTTTCACCATGTTGACCAGGATGGTCTCGATCTCTTGACCTTATGATCCACCCACCTCAGCCTCCCAAAGTGCTGGGGTTACAGGCGTGAGCCACCACGCCCGGCTCTTTTTTTTTTTTTTTTTGAGACGGAGTCTTGTTCTGTCACCCAGGCTGGAGTGCAATAGTATGATCTCAGCTCACTGCAACCTCTGCCTCCTGGGTTCAAGCAATTCTCCTGCCTCAGCCTCCGGAGTAGCTGGGATTACAGATGTGTGCCACCACGCCCAGCTAATTTTTGTAATCTTAGTAGAGACGGGGTTTCACCATTTTGGCCAAGATGGTTTTTATCTCTCTTTTTTTTTTTTTCTTTTTTTGAGATGGAGTTTCACTCTTGTTACCCAGACTGGAGTGCAATGGCACAATCTTGGCTCACCGCAACCTCTGCCTCCTGGGTTCAGGCAATTCTCCTGCCTCAGCCTCCTGAGTAGCTGGGATTACAGGCGCGCACCACCGTGCCCAGCTAATTTTTGTATTTTTAGTAGAGACGGGGTTTCACCATGTTGGTCAGGATGGTCTCAATCTCTTGACCTCGTGATCCATTCGCCTCGGCCTCTTAAAGTGCTGGAATTATAGGCGTGAGCCACCACGCCCGGTCAATAAAAAAATTTTAAATGTAGGCCAGGCGCAATGGCTCACGCCTATAATCCTAGCATTTTGGGAAGCTGAGGCGGGTGGATCACTTGAGGCCAGGAGTTCAAGCCTGGCCAACATGGCGAAACCACATCGCTACTAAAAATACAAAAATTAGCTGGACATAGTCCTGTAGTCCCAGCTACTCAGGAGGCTGAGGCAGAAGAATGGCTTGAACCCAGGAGGTGGAGGTTGCGGTGAGCCAAGTTCATGCCACTGCACTCCAGTCTGGCAACAGAGTGAGGCTCTATCTCAAAAACACCAAAAAATAAAAAACCAAAACAAATTAGCCAGACGTGGTGCTGCACGCCTGTAATCCCAGCTACTTGGGAGGCTGAGGCAGGAGAATCACTCGAACCCAGGAGGCAGAGGCTGCAGTGAGCTGAGATCTTGCCACTGCACTCCTTCCTGGGCAACAGAGCAAGACCCTGTCTCAAAACAACAACAAGGAAACAGCCTGAGAGTGACGCTGCAGGCCCCACGTCATACTGACTTAGATTCTAATCCCAGCTTTTCCAGCTGCTGTGGTTTACCTGCTGAGCCTCAGTTTCCCCATCTGTTGCTGAGGATACCAGCCCCTGCTTCACGGGTGCTTAGGGGATTATGGAGGTGCCTGGTGGGGGCTGAGGGTAGGGGGTGTGTGGGGGTTCAGGGCTGGGTCCCTAGCCGAGCTCACCCTGCAGGTTTCAGCGGGTGGGCCCACCTGATGGAGGTTGACCCGGATGAGGAGGTGCAGGGCGAGATCCACCTGCGACTGGAAGTGCTGCCAGGGGCCCGGGCCCGCCGGCTTCGCTGCTCTGTGCTGGAGGCCAGGTGAGACCCAGGGGCCTGGGGGCAGGCAGTGGGTCCCCTGCAACTAGAGAAACCCATTGAGGAAGCTGAGCCTCCCTTCGCCCCACCTCCACCTCCTGGTCCCAGAGCCGGTCACTTCCCCTCAAAGCCTGCTCTCGAGCAAGGGCCTCGCCAGGCAATGTCTGACACCTGTAATCCCGGCACTTTGGGAGGCCAAGGTGGGTGGATCACCTGAGGCCAGGAGTTCAAGACCAGCCTGACCAACATGGTGAGACTCTGTCTCTGCTAAAAATACAAAAATTAGCTGGGCATGGTGATGCATGCCTGTAATCCCAGCCACTTGGGAGGCTGAGACAGGAGTCTTGAACTTGGGCAGTGGAGGCTGCAGTGAGCCGAGATCGAGCCACTGCACACTAGTTTGGGCAACAAGCGAGAATCCATCTGAAAAAGAAAAAAGCTGGACAAGATGGCTCATGCCTGTAATCCCAGCGCTTCGGGAGGCCAAGGCGAGTGGATCACCTGAGGTCGGGAGTTGGAAGAGCAGCCTGGCCAACAAGGTGAAACCCCGTCCCTACTAAAAATACAAAAAATCAGCCGAGTGTAGTGGCGGACGCCTGTAATCCCAGCTCCTTGGGAGGCTAAAACGTGAGAATCACTTGAACCTGGAGCCGAAGGTTGCAGTGAGCCGAGATCGTGCCATTGCACTCCAGCCCAGGCAACAAAAGTGAAACTCCATCTCAAAAAGAAAAAACAAAAGAGGGCCAGGCGCGGTGGCTCAAGCCTGTAATCCCAGCACTTTGGGAGGCCGAGGCCAGTGGATCACGAGGTCAAGAGATCAAGACTTTCCTGGTCAACATGGTGAAACCCCGTCTCTACTAAAAAAAATACAAAAAATTAGCTGGGCATGGTGGTGCGTGCCTGTAATCCCAGCTACAAAGGAGGAGGCAGGAGAATTGCCTGAACCCAGGAGGCGGAGGTTGAGGTGAGCCGAGATCGTGCCATTGCACTCCAGCCTGGTGACAAAAGCGAAACTCCGTCTCAAAAAAAAAAAAAGAGCTTCTAGGGAGGTTTTCTGGACTTGGAGATGTTTCCTGGGTGTTTTCCACTCAAGGGGATATGTCCTGTAAGGGAAAAGCTAATGTTCTCGTGGAGAAGCTTGAGCCATCACAGAGGAATGGAGTAGGGGGTATAGGTGAGGGACCCAAAACTCTGATCACACAGCCTCAGGGTCCCAGTGCTGGGGCCGGCTTCTCTATCTTTAACCTCGGTGTCAACTTGGCCTGGTGGGTGTGGGGGTAAGCGGGTCCCTTGTGGGGTTAGAGTGTGAAAAGAATTGCTAAAAATCTCCCAATGGGCAAAATGAGGGTTCCCCCAAGGGGGGACAGTGGCTCAGATGGTTCCATGAGCCTGAGTCACCTGTGACCGGGCCACTGCCCCACCCCAGGGTATTTTTAGCTGCAGGCTGCACTCTTGTCTGGGCCTGAGTGTGAGTCACACTCTGTCCCTGAGAAGTGCCTTACGGGAGGGTGGCCCCCAGCGAGGCAGCCCCTATGGAGCCAGTGTGACCCCGACTCTTGGGAGGTCAGCCTAAGAGGAAGACTTCTCTTGGGCAGAGGAGGGGTGTGGGTCACATGATGCTCCCGTTGTTCACCCGGGAGTTATTTTCTGTCCTGGGAAAATAGAAATGAATGGAAACATGGCTGGGCTTAGGCTGAGCCTCAGCCACGCCCTCGCACTGGCTCACTCTGGCACCCCTCATTCATTCTCCCCACCCCACCCCCACTCATCCACTTCCTCCATCCTTATCCTTGCCGGGCACCAGGCTGTCTGGGGGACAGGCATGGACATGTGTGCACATGCTCACACACACACCTGGGCTCTGGGACCTTGGGACTGCTTCTCCCAGACACCCATTGTCACCCACGAAGATGGGAGGCACGGAAGCATGTCTCCCTGGCCCTCCCCTCTCTCCAGGTGTCTTCTCTCTCCCATCCTCTGGGGCCACAGTGTCTGGTCTTCTCTTAGAGAGTCTGGGCCGGGCTCGGTGGCTCAAGCCTTTAATCCCAGCACTTTGGGAGGCCGAGGCGGGTGGATCACAACGTCAAGAGATCGAGACCATCCTGGTCAACATGGTGAAACCCCGTCTCTACTAAAAATACAAAAAATTAGCTGGGCATGGTGGCGCGCGCCTGTAGTCCCAGCTACTCAGGAGGCTGAGGCAGGAGAATTGCCTGAACTCAGGAGGCGGAGGTTGCGGTGAGCTGAGATTGTGCCATTGCACTCCAGCCTGGGTAGCAACAGCGAAACTCCGTCTCAAAAAAAAAAAGAGAGAGAGTCCTAGCAAGGGAGAGGAATCTCCAGGCCTCTCTTAGAGTGAGGGGACTTGTCCCCCCTTGCCCTCAGCAATGAGACTCTTGCTGGAATCCCAAGTCAGCCTAAGAAGGTCCATTTGCTGCAGAGGAAGAAAGAACATGTCCTCTTTATTTTTTCTGAGCAGATTCTCAATATTTCAATAAAACCTTAGGGTTTTGTTTGTTTGTTTTGAGAGAATCTTACCCGGTCGGTCATCCAGGCTGGAGTGCAGAGGTGTTTTCTGGGCTCACTGCAACCTCCGCCTCCCGGGGTTTGAGTGGTCTCCTGCCTCAGCCTCCTGAGTAACTGGGACTACAGGCGTACACCACCATGCCCAGTTAATTCTTTTGTATTTTTAGTAGAGACGGAGTTTCACCGTGTTGGCCAGGCTGGTCTCCAACTCCTGACCTCAGGTGATCCGCCCGCCTCAGCTTCCCGAAGTGCTGGGATTACAGGTGTGAGCCACCGTGCCTGGCCTCAACCTTGGGGTTTTATTAGTTTTTGAGGGAGAAAGAAAGGCAGGCATGAGAAGTTTAAAATATCAAAGATGAGTGAGCTTTGGTGTTCTTCCATAAAGAGTTCTTTTTTTTTTTAAATTTTTTTTAGAGATGGGGCCTCGCTATGTTGCCCAGGCTGGAGTGCAGTGGCTATTCACAGGCTCAATCCCACTACTGATCAGCACAGGACTTTTGACCTGCTCCGTTTCTGACCTGGGCCGGTTCACCCCTCTTTAGGCAACCTGGTGGGCCCCTGCTCCTGGGAGGTCACCATATTGGTGCTGAACTTAGTGCAGACACTGATCGGCATAGCACACTACAGCCCAGAACTCCTGGGCTCAGACAATCCTCCCACCTCAGCCTCCCAAATAGCTGGGACTACAGGCACACGCCACCGCGCCCCGCTTCCATAAAGAGTTCTAAGTGGGGGATATTGGTGGGGTGCAGTGGCTCATGCCAGTAATCCCAGTACTTTGGGAAGCAGAGGTGGAAGGATCTCTTGAAGCCAGGAGTTTAAGACCAACCTGGGCAACATAGCAAGATCCTGTCTCTACAAAAGAGAATTTAAAAATAAGCCAGGCGTGGTAGTGCACACCTATAGTCCCAGCTACTTGGGAGGCTGAGGTAGGAGGATCGCTTGAGTCCAGGAGGTGGAGGCTGCAGTGAGCTATGATTGTACCACTGCACTTCAGCTTGGGCAACAGAGCAAGACCCTGTCTCAACAAAAGAAAAAAAAGCGGGGGGCGGCGCTGAGCGTGATGGCTCACTCCTGTAATCCCAGCACTTTGGGAGGTCGAGGTAGGTGGATCGCCTAAGGTCAGGTGTTCCAGCCTGGCCAACCTGGTGAAATCTGTCTCTACTAAAAATACAAAAATTAGCCAGGCGTGGTGGTGGGCAGCTGTAATCCCAGCTACCCAGGAGGCTGAGGCAGGAGACTCGCTTGGAACTGGGAGGCAAAGTTTGCAGTGAACCAAGATTGCACCATTGCACTCCAGCCTGGGTGACAGAGCGAGACTCCATCTCAAAAAAACGGAAAAAAAACCTGGGGTACTGTGACTAGACTTGGGCTCTGTAAAGGCCCATCTGTGGAGAGAGGAAAGGGCTGCTTATCAGGTCTGCACCTCACCCCTCCACCAAGTAGGGTGACATTACTGGGACAGGATTTCCAGAAGCACACTCTCCCTAAACTTGAGCTCAGTAGTGATTAGCTTTTCCATTTTCCTGATGAGGAAACAAGGCTCAGAGCAGCCCTGGGAACAGAGAGCCGGGCACATGGCCCCAGCCGTTCCCTGGCAGCACTCACACCGGCCCCCTGGAAACCCCCTCAGAGAGAGAGATGCAGCCAATGGCCTGCAGCTGCCTGGTAGGAAGGAGCCACGGCCTCCACCTTGGGGGATTCTTGGCCACATGGGCGACCGTTGGGAGGTGGCTGTGGGAACAGGGCCCAGGAAGGGGAGAGGCTCACTGTCCACAGTCAGCGTGCCAGGAACGGAATGTGCCCAGGCCTGTTGTGGTTACAAATGGTGGTGACAAGTGGGGGAGGGGAGCTCAGGGGACAAGTAGATGATCCTCTCTTCCTCCACCCCACCAGGGATCTGGCCCCAAAGGACCGCAATGGCGCATCTGACCCCTTTGTCCGAGTGCGCTACAAGGGCCGGACGCAGGAGACCTCGGTGAGGAGGCCAGAGGGCAGGGAAGGGCAGGTGGCTGGGGACCTGCCAGCCATGCTCCCATTGCTCACCTCTCCACCGGCTCACCATCACCTGGGGGAACAGATTGGGAGCCACAGTCTTACGGAGGAGGCCCAAGGAAGGGGGCGACCTGTCTAATGGGACATAATAGGTCCCAGCCCCTCTGGTGCCAACTCCTCTCACTCCTGGCCATGGTGGGGGGTAAGGAAGGGATTGAGACAGCTGGAGTGGCATTTATCTGGGAACACCCATGCTGCCTTCCCTACCCACAGGAAACATCCAGGGCTCATTTCTGGGCAGGAAAGCAGCAAGGTCTGGCTTCTCAGTGGAGTCACTGCTGTTTTTGTTTTGTGGTTTGTGGGTTTTTTTTTTTTGAGGCTGAGTCCCGCTCTGTCACCCAGGCTGGAGTGCAGTGGCACGATCTCAACTCACTGCAGCCTCTGCCTCCCGGGGTTCAAGCGATTCTCCTGCCTCAACCTCCTGAGTAGCTGGGACTACAGGTTCACACCACCACACCCGGCTAATTTTCTGTATTTTTTAGTAGAGACATGGTTTCACCATGTCCTGGCCTCAAGCGATCCTCCCGCCTTGGCCTCCCAAAGTGCTGGGATTACAGGTGTGAGGCACCGCGTCCAGCCTGTGTTTTTTGTTTGTTGGTTTGAATTTTTGTTTCCATGGGTTATTGGAGAGCAGGTGGTGTTTGGTGACATGAGTAAGCTCCTCAGTGGTGATTTCTGAGATTTTGCTGCATCTGTCACCTGCATGCTATACACTGCACTCAATGTGTGCCTTTTGTTCCTCACCCCTTCCCACCCTTTCCCCCGAGTCCCCAGAGCCCATGTGTCACTCTTACGCCTTCGCATCCTCATAGCTTAGCTCCCACTTATGAGTGAGAACATATGATGTTTCGTTTTCCATTCCTGAGCAACTTCACTTAGAATAGTCTCCAGTTCCATCCAGGTTGCTGTGAATGCCATCAATTCATTCCTTTTTCATGACTGAGTAGTATTCCATCTCATACACACACACCGTGGTTTCTTTATCCACCTGTTGATTGATGAGCATTTGAGTTGGTTTCACATTTTTGCAATTGCAAATCATTCTGTCATAAACATGCGTGTGTAAGTATCTTTTCCTCTGGGTAGAGAGACACCTGGTAGTGGGATTGCTGAAGTGGTAGTTCTACTTTTAGTTACTCCTGAATCCCCACACTGTTTTCTGTAGTGGTGGTCGTAGCTCACATTCCCACCAGCAGTGGAGAAGTGTCCCCTGTGCACCTCATCCACACAGTCACTACTGTTTTGCTCTGTGGCCTTGGATATGTCTCTTCCCCACCCTGGGCCTCAGTTCTCCCCATCTGAGAAATGTATGGGGGCTTGGACGTGACATTTTAACCCCCGATGTGGCAGAGCCTCCAAGGCTGCGGGGACAGGGGCAGTGTCTGAGGCAGCTGGGGAGTCCGGTGGCATCAGCCTAACCCCCTCCCACCCTGCTCTGGGCAGATCGTGAAGAAGTCATGCTACCCACGCTGGAATGAGACGTTTGAGTTTGAGCTGGAGGAGGGGGCCACAGAGGCGCTGTGTGTGGAGGCCTGGGACTGGGATCTTGTCAGCCGAAACGACTTTCTGGGCAAAGTGAGCACCCCCTCCCTCCAGGCTGCACCTGTTGTCCCCCAGCACCTGGCTCCATTGCAGCCACCCCATACTCAGAGATCTCCCTCCAGCTTCCCCAGAGAGGGATACTCAGGAAGCGCCTGGGACTACCCGCCCCCCACGCCCCCACCCTGTTTACCAGAACCAGCAACTTCTCCCCACAGCCACTGGCGCTCGGGGACCCTTGGAGGACCCTCCCCACTGAGAACAGTAGTTGGCAAGGAGGAGACCTAAGTGTCCCAGCTCCGGGATGACTTCCACTGTGTCCCCAGGTGGTGATCGATGTCCAGAGACTGTGGGCAGCCCAGCAGGAGGAGGGCTGGTTCCGGCTGCAGCCCGACCAGTCCAAGAGCCGGCAGCACGTCAAGTAAGTGAGAGGGGCTGGGTAGGGCTGAGAACTGGCTACAGGCAGGCAGGGCAGGTGGGTTGCTCGGGGGGGAGAGGTCAGGAGACGCAGGTCCAGGGTTCCCTCAGCTCCTGCCCACCAGGCCAACATCCTTCTCATCTAGGCTGGGCTCCACCTTCCCACAGTCCCACACTCAGCTCCATTTTTTTTTTTTTTTTTGAGATGGAGTCTTGCTCTGTTGCCCAGGCTGGAGTGCAATGGCGCAATCTCTGCTCACTGCAACCTCCAGTGATTCTCCTGCTTCAGCCTCCCGATTAGCTGGGATTACAGGTGCCCACCACCATGCCTGGCTAATTTTTATATTTTTAGTAGAGACAAGGTTTCACCATGTTGGCCAGGCTGGTTTCAAACTCTTGACCTCAAATGATCCACCCTCCTCAGCCTCCCAAAGTGCCGGGATGACAGGTGTGAGCCACCTCACCTGGCCAGCTCTGTCTTCTTAGCTCACCGGTTATACAGGTCTCCTGCTTTCTGCTTTCTGGAAGTTTCTAAAAAAAGTGCTCAGACACTTTTTCTTTGACAATTTCCCTGCAGACTTCAGACCAGGGTTCAAGTCTCCAGAGTCCGTGTCCCTGAGCCACAGCTCTAATTCCCTTCCCAAGATTCTCCAGGAATATGGTTTCCAGATAAAAGACAGGACACCCCTGGCCAGGAGTGGTGGCTCATGCCTATAATCCCAGCTCTTTGGGAGGCTGAGGTGGGAGGATCACTTGAGGCCAGGAGTTTGAGACCAGCCTGGGCAAGAAAGTGACACTTCGTCTCTACAAAGAAATAAAAAATTAGCCGGGTGTGGTGGTACATCCCTGTGGTTCTAGCTACGTGAGCATCAAGGTGGGAGGATTGCTCGCACCCAGAAGGTGGAGGCACAGTGAGCTATGATCGCTTCTGCACTTCAGCCTGGGTCACAGAGCAAGACCCTGTTTCCAGAAAAAAAAATCAGAAAAAAAAAAAAAAGTCCGGGCACAGTGGCTCACATCTGTAATCCCAGCACTTTGGGAGGCTGAGGAGGGTGGCTCACATGAGGTCAGGAGTTCAAGACCAGCCTGGCCAACACGGTGAAACCCCGTCTCTACTAAAAATACAAAAATTAGCCGGGTGTGGTGGCAGGTGTCTGTAATCCCACCTATTTGGGAGGCTGAGGCAGGAGGATCGCTTGAACCCAGGAGGCAGAGGTTGCAATGAGCTCAGATCGTGCTGCTGCACTCTAGCTGGGTGACAGAGCAAGACTCAGTCTCAAAAAAAAAAAAAAAAAAAAAAAAAAAGACTATGCACTATTTGAGATATACCTATACAAAAAATATTCAAATGTAGGCCAGGCACGGGGTGGTTCATGCCTGTAATTTCAGCACTTTGGAAGGCCAAGGCAGGAGGATCACTTGAGTCCAGGAGTTCAAGACCAGCCTGGGCAACATAGCAAGACCCCATCTCTAAAAAAATAGTTAATAAGTAAATAAAATACTCACATTTAACTGAGTGTCCTGGGTCGTCGTTTTGCTGAAGTTGGCAGCCTGTCTAGGAAGCCCTCGTCTTACAAATGACAACAGTGAGGTTTGCTGTGACCCCCACAACCCTCGATGGTTCAGCTTTGTGTCCCGCTGGAAGGCCCCAGACCCCTCTTTCCCCCATTCCCATTCTTATCAGGGTAGGGGCAGGCGGTCGGCTGCATGTCAGCACCAAGGCATTTCCAAAGAGCCAACCAAGGCCCATCTTCTTCTTTTTTTTTTTTTTTTTTGAGACAGAGTCAGGCTGGAGTGCGGTGGTGCAATCTTGGCTCACTGCAACCTCTGCTTCCCGGGTTGAAGTGATTCTCCTGCCTCACCTCAGTCTCCCAAGTAGCTGCGATTACAGGCACCTGCCACCATGCCTGGCTACCTTTTTTCTTTTCTTTTATTTTTGAGACGGAGTTTTGCTCTTGTTGCCCAGGCTGGAGTGCAGTGGCGTGATCTTGGCTCATCACAACCTCCACCTCCCGGGTTCAAGTGATTCTCCTGCCTCAGCCTCCTGAATAGCTGGGATTACAGGCACGTGCCACCACACGCAGCTAATTTTGTATTTTTAGTAGAGATGGGGTTTCCCCATGTTGGCCAGGCTGGACTCAGACTCCCAACCTCGGATGATCCACCCGCCTAAGCCTCCCAAAGTGCTGGGATTACAGGCATGAGCCACTGTGCCAGGCCATTTTTGAACTTTATTTTTGGTAGAAACGAGGCTTTGCCATGTCGGCCAGGCTAGTCTCGAACTCCTGACCTCAAGTGATCCGCCCGCATTGGCCTCCCAAAGTGCTGGGATTACAGGCATGAGCCACCATGCCAGGCTCAGGGACCCTTCTTCTTCTTCTTTTTTTTTTTTGAGATGGAGTTTTGCTCTTGTTACCCAGGCTGGAGTGCAATGGCGTGATCTCCGCTCACCGCAACCTCCGCCTCCTGGGTTCAGGCAATTCTCCTGCCTCAGCCTCCTGAGTAGCTGGGATTACAGGCACGCGCCACCATGCCCAAAAAATACAATAATTTTTTGTATTTTTAGTAGAGACGGGGTTTCACCATGTTGACCAGGATGGTCTTGATCTCTTGACCTCGTGATCCACCTGCCTCGGCCTCCCAAAGTGCTGGGATTACAGGCGTGAGCCACCGCGCCCGGCCCCCATCTTAACACTTATACTGTGCATGAGGCTTGTGCTGAGCAGGGGCAGTGGGGCCTTAGAGGATGTCATGCCTTGGTTTACACCCTCCCCTGTTCTGACCTTCCCTGTCAGAACAGGGAAGCTTGGAAGCTGGGTCTAATGTGGGAAGTTGCTGCTGAAGCAGCTCAAGCCTCAGTTTCCCTATTAGGTTGTTATGAGGGTCGGGGATTTGCTTCCGCTGTAAAGTGCACTCATGCTGGTGCCATCATCTGGAGTGTATAGATTCAAGGCTGGGAGCCCCACATACCCAAGCCTGGAGGCGGCAGGGAGCCGGACCTTGAAGACAGATAGAGGTGCCATGAATGCAGAGGCAGGAAGGGCTTTCCAGAAAGAGAACATAAATAGCCGGGCAGAGCCTGGGAGGCAGAGCTGTGCAGGGCACCCAGATGGAGGGCATGAGCAGAGAGACGGGAGGCTGGCCCCAAGAGAGAGATGGGAGGCCATGGGAGGGGTGCGGCCCAGGGCGGCCTGGGTCCCCGGTGGAAAGGTCACAGGCTGCCCATTCCAGGGGCAACCTGGGCTCCTTGCAGCTGGAGGTACGGCTGCGTGATGAGACGGTGCTGCCCTCCAGCTGCTACCAGCCGCTGGTGCAGCTGCTGTGCCACGAGGTGAAGCTGGGCGTGCAGGTGAGGGGACCCCTGGGCAGGTGGGAGGGTTCATTGGCGGTAGGCCTAAGCCCCTGTCCTAAACACATTCTGCAGGACAGAAAACTGAGGTCTGGGGATGTAAGGAGCTGGACAGTGCCCAGGGCCCCGTCCCCGGCCACCCCTTGGGAAAGCACCCTCCTTCTCTGGGGTACCCAAGGGTCTCAGAGGGAAGGGTTCAGAATCCCCCGTGTCTCTCCCTGCAGGGCCCGGGACAGCTGATCCCGCTCATCGAGGAGACAACCAGCACCGAGTGTCGCCAGGACGTGGCCACCAACCTGCTCAAGCTCTTCCTGGGGCAGGGGCTGGCCAAGGACTTCCTGGACCTGCTCTTCCAGCTGGAGCTGAGTCGCACCAGTGAGGCCTGGGAGGGAGCTGGGCGGATTGGACTGGGAGGTGGTGGTGGGGAGGGGATCCTCGTGTAGGAGGCAGATGGGAGACAGGAGGGAGGCAAGGGACAGAGCCAAGGGCAGAGGTGGGACAGTGGGCTGGGAGGTGGCGAGGAGACCCTTTATTGAGGGGCCAGCTTAGGTCCCCCAGCCCCAAGGTCCTCTGTCCTCCCTCTACCCCCAAAGCTTTGTCCCAGCCCCCTACCCACTGGGACCTCTGTTTGTAGGTGAGGCCAACACCCTGTTCCGGAGCAACTCCCTGGCCTCAAAGTCGATGGAGTCCTTTCTGAAGGTGACGTTGCCTGTGATACTGTCCTCATCTTACAGATGACAAGAGTGAGGTTCAGAGAGACTAATGGAATGGCTGCAACTTCCACTCCAGTGTTCTGTCTCTGTTTTCAGAGCCCTTGAAGGTTAGGAACGTGACCCAGCCAAGCACAGTGGCGCGTGCCTGTAGTCCCAGCTACTCGGGAGGCTGAGGCTGGAGGATCACTTGTGCCCAGGAATTCGGGGCTGTAGTGCGCTATGCCGATCGGATGTCCGCACTAAGTTCGGCATCAATATGGTGACCTCCCAGGAGCGGGGGCCCACCAGGTTGCCTAAGGAGGGGTGAACCGGCCCAGGTCAGAAATGGAGCAGGTCAAAACTCCCATGCTGATCAGTAGCAGGATCGAGCCTGTGAATAGCCACTGTGCTCCAGCCTGGGCAACACAGCGAGACCCTGTCTCTAAAAAAAAAAAAAAGAGAGAGAGAAAAAAAAGAATGTGGCCAGGTACAATGGCTCACACCTGTAATCTCAGCACTTTGGGAGGCCGAGTCGGGTGGATCACTTGAGGTCAGGAGTTTGAGACCAGCCTGGCCAACCTGGTGAAAGCCCATCTCTACTAAAAATGCAAAAATTAGCCTGTTGTGGTGGTGGGCTCCTGTAATCCCAGCTACTGGGGAGGCTGAGGCAGGAGAATCGCTTGAACCAGGAGGCAGAGGTTGCAGTGAGCTCACACCACTGCACTCCAGCCTGGACCACAGAGCTAGACTCCATCTCTCCCCCAAAAAAGAGTGTGTGTGTGTGTGTGTGTGTGTGTGTGTGTTTAAAATTTAAATTAGAGACAGTCTCACTGTGTTGCCCAGGCTAGTCCCAAACTCCTGGTCTCAAGTGGTCCTCCTGCCTTGGCCTCCCAAAGTGCTGGGATTACAAGGGCTAGGAATTCCATTCATTAATTTACTCACCCATTCATGGATAAGCAGTTTTCCCTGCATGTGTACCTGGCCTCCTCCTGGGTGGATACAGCAGGCAGATGGTGCAGAGGCAGCTGCTCTGGAGAGAGTGGGCAGCTTGAGTGGGATGGGGAGAGATGGGACCAATGTGACCCGTGGTGGTCCCCAGGTGGCTGGGATGCGGTACCTGCACGGCGTCCTGGGCCCCATCATCAACAAGGTGTTTGAGGAGAAGAAGTACGTGGAGCTGGACCCCAGCAAAGTGGAAGTTAAGGATGTGGGGTGAGGCCAGGGGCAATTGGGGGGGGGCGCAGTGGTGGCAGGGTGGGATCAGGCCCTCTCTGCCCGTGTGTTTGTGGCTCTGCCCACCGGTATATTGCCCCCTGTGTCCGTGTCCCGGCTGCTGCGAGAGCCACTGCCCCTATCCTGGCCCTGGCACTGACCGCCACCCCCTCTGCCGCCCCGCCCCGCCCCGTCCCACGCAGGTGCTCTGGGCTGCACCGCCCGCAGACCGAGGCCGAAGTGCTGGAGCAGAGCGCGCAGACGCTGCGCGCCCACCTGGGGGCGCTGCTGAGCGCGCTCTGCCGCTCGGTTCGCGCGTGCCCAGCCGTGGTGCGCGCCACCTTCCGCCAGCTCTTCCGGCGCGTGCGCGAGCGCTTCCCCGGCGCCCAGCACGAGGTGCGCCCTCCACCCGCTGGGCTGGGCCGGGCCGGGCCGGGCAGGACTCGGCTGGGGCGGGGGGCGAAGAGCGGTAGGGAGCCACGGAGCGCTGGGGAAGGGCGGGGAGGCGGTATCCCGGGGAGGGTCAGGGACGGAGCCTAAGGTGGGGGGGCTGCCCTGCGCCCAGGCCTGGGGGACCCCAGCCCGCGCTCTCCCGCACCCCTCCAGAATGTGCCGTTCATCGCCGTCACCAGCTTCCTGTGCCTGCGCTTCTTCTCTCCCGCCATCATGTCGCCCAAGCTCTTCCACCTGCGGGAGCGCCACGCGGACGCCCGCACCAGCCGCACCCTGCTCCTGCTGGCTAAGGTGCGGGCCTTGCGGCCACGGGCGGGATGCGCAACTGGGTGTCGCACCGGGTCCCTGGCCCGGACTGCTGTGTGTTCCCTACCGGCTCCGGCGAGGCCACTGGCACGCCCACGTGGGCATTGCACTTCACAGTTTGCAAAGCCTTCCTGTGGCCACCTTGTCTGAGCCCCGTCTCATGGATAAGGGAACAGGCCTTCGAGGGGTCGGAGGTTGCCAAGGCCACCCATCCTGTCGGTGGTGAATGGGGGGACCCTCCAACCTGGGTCTACTTACTCCCAGGCTGCACCTGTCTGCCCGGCACCGGGGTGGGGTACCCAGTGAGTGTAGCAGCGGCTATTAAACCTGCAGAAGGCCCAAGTGGTCTCAGTTACCATAAGGCATCAAACTATGATCCACTCCTCCCTGATCCCTTGTGGAGCTGGAGAGGGGGGCCTGGTGGGTATGGCTTCTGTCGCCTCTGCCTCATCTCTACAGCTGAGTAGCAAAGACTTGGGGGGTGGGAGGGGTGCAGTGGCTAGGCCCCTGACCCAGCAGAGCCTGGCCCTTCCTGCTGTCTCCTCCAGGCAGTCCAGAATGTGGGCAACATGGACACGCCGGCTTCCAGGGCCAAGGAGGCTTGGATGGAGCCGCTGCAGCCCACTGTGCGCCAGGGCGTGGCACAGCTGAAGGACTTCATCACCAAGCTCGTGGACATCGAGGAAAAAGACGGTGAGCACCTCCCTGTACAGTCCCGCCCACAGCCTACTGCTGACGTTTGCTCCGCCCTTGAGCCCACGGCCCCACCCACCACTGTTTGTGGCCCCTCTTCTGGCCCCACCCACCGCCTACTGTTAGCATTTGCCAGGGTCCCGGGCCATAGACCCACCCACCACTGTTTGTCCTTACTGTGGCCCCGCCCCTAGACCTATGGCCTCACCTACCATCACCTGTTGACATTTGCTCCACCCTTGAGCTCCATAGCCCCGCCCATCACAAACGGCTGACTTATGTAAACAGCACAAGTCAACATCGAAACCCATGGCCCCGCCTACCTCTGGCCACCTGTCACCCCGCTCACCACATGCTGTTGATTTCTGCTCCGCCCTTGAGCCCCATGGCCCCGCCCACTGCCTGCTGTTCACCTTTGCTCCGCCCCCTGGTCCCGCTTTCATTCACTGGGCTATCTATTCCTCTCCCTCCCTGGCCTGGCAGAGCTGGACCTGCAGCGGACGCTGAGTTTGCAGGCGCCACCTGTGAAGGAGGGGCCGCTCTTCATCCACAGGACCAAGGGAAAGGGTCCCCTCATGTCCTCCTCCTTTAAGAAGCTCTACTTCTCCCTCACCACTGAGGTCCTCAGCTTCGCCAAGACGCCCAGCTCCAAGGTGGGTAAGGAGGGAGGCCAGCAAGTGGGGCTCTGAGAAGTTATGGCGCCCTGGAGGCCCCTGTCCCCTTCCTTGGAGCCCATCTGAGGTCCCGGAGGGTCAGAGAAGAAAGCCAGGTGTGTGGCATCTGTAGTGCTTGTCAGAACCTAGGAGAGCCAGGCACGGTGGCTCATGCCTGTAATCCCTGTACTTTAGGAGGCTAAGGTGGGTGGATCACTCGAGGTCAGGAGTTCAAGACTAGCCTGGCCAACATGGTGAAACCCCGACTCTACTAAAAATGCAAAAATTAGCCAGGTGTGGTGATGGGTGCCTATAGTCCCAGCTACTCGGGAGGCTGAGGTACAGGAATCACTTGAACCTGGGAGGCAGAGGTTGCAGTGAGCCAAGATCACACCACTGCATTCCAGCCTGGGCAACAGAGCAAGACTCTGTCTTAAAAAACAAAAAAAGAAAACAAGGAAGATGGTCCAACCTTACCAGGTTGTTGAGGGTTAGATGAGATGATCTCCCTAAGGGTCATGAAGACCCAGGTCCTGACAGGTACGACTCTTTAGGCAAATGGTATTATTAAAGATAGTACATCCCCTGGGCTACTAGGTGAGGAGGAAGCTAGGGCAACCAGGGGAGGCTTCCTGGAAGAGGCAGGAATATAGAAGCATGGAATCTTGGTATGGGAAGGGATCTCAAAGATCATACTTTCTCCATGGACCTGGTGACCCCTTGATGTACACCTGCCCCCAGTCATGCAGGATGATCATGGGGAGAGTCTGCCAGGAATACCCAGCCTAGCCCTAAGCAGGCGAGAGTGGGCTGGGGTAGGTGAAGGAGCTCATCACCCATTCTGTTCTCAAAGAACCAGCTCAGGGCCCCACCAGACGAGGGGCCCACCCCTTCCAGCAAAGACCCTTGGATGATAATTATTATTTTGAGGCAGGGTCTTGCTCTGTCACCCAGGCTCTAGTGCAGTGGTATGATCATAGCTGACTGCAGCCTCGAACTCCTGGGCTCAAGCAATCTTCCTGCCTCAGTCTCCCAAGTAGCTGGGACTACAGGCACGTGCCACCAAGCCAGGCTAATTTTCTTCGTGAAAGAGTCTTGTTATACTGCCCAGGCTGGTCTCAAACTCCTGGCCTCAAGCAGTCCTCCCACCCCAGCCTCCCAAAGCACTCAAATGATTATTCTACATCCGCCAGGGTTGGAAGATTTGGCTACATAGGCATCATTTAATGCTGGTCCCATTTTGTCTGCTGTCAACCTTTGAGAGCCAGTCAGATGGCCTGTCATTCGGAGACAGTTGGGGCCGCTGTTGTGATTTCTGCCCTGAGCAGGGCTTCCTCTTGTTTGGCCTCTGCCCCAAGCAGGGAAGACCACGTTGTTTCTGAGGACTCAGCAACAGCAGAAAGCGCTCGGGTTTGGGACCAGCCTGGGCAGCATAGAAAGACCCCATTGCTACAAAAAACATTTAACAAATTTGCTGAGCATAGTGGCATGCGCCTGCAGTCTCGGCTACTCAGGAGGCTGAGGCAGGAAGACTGTTTGAGCCCAGGAGTTTGAAGCTGCAGTGAGCTGTGATTGCACCACTGCCCTGCAGCCTAGGTGACAGAGTGAGACCCTGTCTCTCTTAAAAAAAAAAAAAAGAAGAAGAAGAAGCAGCAGCCAGGCGCGGTGGTACGTGCCTGTAGTCCCAGCTACTCAGGAGGCTGAGGCTGGAGGATCGCTTGAGCCCAGGAGTTCTGGGCTGTAGTGAGCTATGCCGATCGGGTGTCCGCACTAAGTTCAGCACCAATATGGTGACCTCCCAGGAGCAGGGGACCACCAGGTTGCCTAAGGAGGGGTGAACCGACCCAGATCGGACACGGAGCAGGTCAAAACTCCCGTGCTGATCAGTAGTGGGATCCCGCCTGTGAATAGCCTGGGCAACATAGCGAGACACCATCTCTTTTAAAAAAAAAAAAAAGAAAAGAAAAGGAGGGGGTAATGGAGGCTGGGAGTGTAGATTCAGCATTAGCAGGTTGGGGGCCTTTTCAGGACGTGTGTATTTTAGATTCTGAGCTTCCCGTCACATTTTATCATGGCAGGAGGAAGCTAAGAAACGAAGGGACGGGGATGGGATATGGGACTTTTAGAGCCCGGGACTACAAAAGCAAGTTGGAAAATTACTCGATGCAAAGTCACACAGTGTTGGCCGCGGCTGGCATGACTTCGTAGCCCCGGGAATGCTGGCTGTTTAGACACTACCCCAAAGCTCTCACCTCCCAGGCCTGCGAGGAGCACCCCCCTGAGAGGCCAGATCCTCCCCTCCCAGTTGCTGGGCACTTGGTCGCCAGTTTGTGCTTTGCCCTGGCTGAGGTCATTCTAGGTCTCCCACACTTACCCCTAGCGCTGCAGAAGGAGAGACTGAGGCCCAGAGATGGGAAATGGAATGGCCCTGGCTAGGTCCCTGACCCTCCGCCTCCCTCCCTGCCCCAGAAAAGCGCCCTCATCAAGCTAGCCAACGTCCGTGCAGCAGAAAAGGTGGAGGAAAAGAGCTTTGGCAGCTCGAATGTCATGCAGGTCATCTACACAGACGACGCCGGCAGGCCCCAGACTGCCTACCTGCAGTGCAAGGTGCTGGGAGAGGAGCGGGTGCTGTGGGAGTGACATGAGCCCTGTGGGCGTGGCCTGGTTGCTGTGGGAGTGGCATGAGCCCCGTGGGCGTGGCATGGTGGCTGTGGGAGTGGCATGAGCCCTGTGGGAGGGGCCTGGGCGTTGTGGGAGTGGCCTCGGCTCTGTGGGAGTGGCCTGGTTGCTGTGGGAGTGGCATGAGCCCTGTGGGAGCGGCCTGGGCGATGTGGGAGTGGCATGAGCCCTGTGGGAATCGCCTGGGTGCTGTGGGAGCGGCCTGGGTGCTGTGGGAGTGGTCTGGGCGCTGTGGGAGTGACCTGGGTGTTATGGGAATGGCTCGGGTGCTGTGGGAGTAGCCGGAGTGGACCGTGTGAGAAGGGAGCTGAGCCTCTCGCCCCTACCAGGTACATCAGGCACAGCACCGTATGTCTGATCTGGGAGGTGTGGGGGCCAGGTGTGTGTGTTGTCTGGGGGTCTGAGCCCCCAGGAGGCCATGGCCCATGTCTTTCCCTGGGCATCAATGGGATGGATGCCTGTGTGTGGGCCAGTACACGGACAGGTGCATCCCTGTGATCTGAAATTGCACGTTGCACCCGTTTGTTGGAAACTATTTCCAGATATCTGAGATGGGGACCGGGCATGCTGGTTCATGCCGGTAATCCCAGAGCTCTAGCCAGAGCAACAGAGCAAGAGAAAAAAGGGAGTCTGTGCTGGCACCTGGATCAACGCCTAATAATCAAACATTATGCTCTGTGTGGCTCTGGGTGCATGTTCTCAAATACCTTTCCCATCTATTCCTTCATTAATTCATTCATTCATTTATTTACAAAACGCATACTGAGCATCTCCTAGGTTCCAGGCAGGATTTTAGGTGAGGGGATGCAGTGGCAGACAAGACAGAGCCCCGCCCTCGTGGAGCTGATATGGGGAGAAGATGGGCCAATAAATACATGTTTCAAATGTCGGGCCAGGCACGGTGGCTCACGCCTATAGTCCCAGCACTTTGGGAGGCCGAGGTGGGAGGATCACTGGAGGCCAGGAGTTTGAGACCAGCCTGACCAATGTAACAAGACCCCATTTCTACAGAAAATAAAAAAGTAGCCAGGTATGATGGCAGCGATCCCAGCGACTTAGGAGGCTGAGGCAGGAGGATTGCCTGAGCTCAGGAGTTGGAGGTTACAGCCAGTTGGAGGCTGCAGTGAGCTATGATCACACCACTGCACTCCAGCCTGGGTGACTTGAAAAAAAGTCTCTTAAAAAAAAAAAAGTCAAATAGTGATAGTGACTTGAAGGGAACCAGAAGCGACTAAGGGAGCAAGGAAGGGAACAGAGTGGAGGGTGTCAGGGAGCAGTCTGCCCTATAAAGGGTAGTGAGAGGCCGGGCGCGGTGGCTCACGCCTGTAATCCCAGCACTTTGAGAGGCCAAGGGAGGTGGATCATGAGGTCAGGAGATTGAGACCAGCCTGGCTCTACTAAAAATACAAAAAATTAGCCAGGTGTGTTGGAGGTGCCTGTAGCCCCAGCTACTCAGGAGGCTAAGGCAGGACAATCACTTCAATCTGGGAAACGGAGATTACAATCAGCTGAGATCGTGCCACTGCACGCTAGCCTGGGTGACAGAGAGACTCCGTCTCAAAAAAAAAATAACATGGTCAGGGAGGACCTCTGATGGGTGGCATTCGGGCAGGGACCTTGTAGGAGGGTGACTCAGATGTGTCTCTAGGGCAGGAACACAGGGACTGAGTAGGAAGCCTGCAGCTGGAGGCGGGTGGTTTCTTCTGGGCATGACTGTCCTGGGCTGGTGGGGAGGAAGTCACAGACCTGTTCCTCCGTGCCCTTCCTCTAGGGCTTCCCTTTTGTGTCAGGGTCCAGAGCCACAGGGAAAAGTAATGATATAAGGGCCGGCAAATATAGTTGTCGGGCTCTGGGATACCTAGGAGCATGGCCAAGGGGCCAACAGCAGCTGAAATCCAGCCCACACCAGGGACAAGTGGAGCTGCTGCCACCAAAAAGACAAGACAGGTGGGAGAGGAGAGGATAGGGTCTTGCTGTGTTGCCCAGACCGGTCTTGAATTCCTGGGCTCAAGCGATCCTCCTGCCTCAGCTTCCTGAAGTGTTAGGATTATAGGAGTGATCCACTTCACCTGCTTTCCAGGCCATGTGCCCAGGTGTGGGCTACATTACCCTGGAGGAAGGGCAGCCTCTCCTAATTCATTCAAAGCTGCTGTGTTGGGGTAGTGGGGAACATGGCATCAGGTGTGGTATAGGAGCTGCAGGTTAGGAGGGCTTCCTGGAGGAGGTGACCTCTGACCAGGCCTCCCCCTCCACGTCCCCTCAGTGTGTGAACGAGCTGAACCAGTGGCTGTCTGCACTGCGGAAGGTGAGCATCAACAACACCGGCCTGCTGGGCTCCTACCACCCTGGCGTCTTCCGTGGGGACAAGTGGAGCTGCTGCCACCAAAGAGAGAAGACAGGTGGGAGAGGAGGCCTGGGCCCTGGGATCTGCATCTGTCCACTGCGGGATCGGGCCTCTGGTTGAACAACGGGTCCCTGAGCCTGCTGTGCACCTGCAGGGACCTAACCCAAGGAACGCTGGCCCTCTAGGCTCTCTGGGTAGAAAGGGGGTGGTTTGGGAAATGCCACGTGATGTGTGTGATGCTTATGAATGAATTCGCTGAAGGCTCTAAGGAGGCCTGATAACGTGTTAGAATCCCATTTCTGTTTTCTTATTTTTTTATTTTTATTTTGAAAGACTCTCAATCTTAAGAATCCCATTTCTTTTTTCTTCTGCTGCTTTTTTTTTTTTTTTAAAGACAGACTGTCACTCTGTTGCCAAGGCTGCAATGCTAATTTTTTAAAAATTTTAGTAGAGACGGGTTTTCACCAGGTTGGCCAGGCTGGTCTCAAACTCCTGACCTGTGATCTGCCCACCTCAGCCTCCCAAAGTGCTGGGATTACAGGCATGAGTCACCAAGCCCAGCCAGATTTTTTTTTTTTTTTTTGAGATGAGTCTCACTCTGTCGCCCAGGCTGGACTCCAGTGGCACAATCTCAGCTCATTGCAACGTCCACCTCCCAGGTTCAAGCGATTCTCCGGCCTCAGCCTCCCGAGTAGCTGGGATTATAGGCGCGTGCCATCACGGCCAACTATTTTTTCTTGTATTTTTAGTAGAGACAGAGTTTCACCACATTGCCTAGGCTGGTCTCGAACTCTTGGCCTCAAAGGATCCACCCACCTTGGCCTCCCAAAGTGCTGGAATTCCAGGTGTGCGCCACCACGCCCAGCCTAGAATCCCACTTCTAACGTGGTTTAACCCAGCACTTCCCAATCCCATTTGATGGGGAACCCTAGGGTTTGTATTTTAATTAACTCAAATAGCTTCCCGAGGCCCTTCTCTTGCCCAAGGAGCTTCCTACAGAACCGGTGTTCTGGGGAACACAGTTGAGGAACCCCCTGCTAAAGAGAGCCAAAGAGAGCCCCTGGGTTCACACACCCCCATGCTGGCAGCCTGAATCCGGAGCTGTGGGTGGGAGGGGACCCTGAGCCTTGGGCACTGGAGGGATGGCAGAGAGGAGCTTCTAGAAGTCCTCAAAACTGCAGTACTCTGGCTTCCAGCACCTGTGGCTCTTGAGCACTTAAAATGTGGCTTGAGGAGCTGAGGGGGTTTTTTAATTTTTTAAAAATAGGGTCTTGCTCTATTGCCCAGGCTGGAGTGCCTTGGCAGAATCATAGCTCGCTGCAGCCTCCAATTCTCAGGCTTAGGCAATCCTCCTGCCTCAGCCTCTGAGTAGGCTGGGACTACAGGCCCACCCCTGGCTCATTAAAAAAATTTTTTTTTTTTAGAGATAAGATCTCTAAGTCTGTGTTGTCCAGGCTGGTCTTAAATTCCCAGCCTCAGGCAATCCTCCTTGCTTGGCCTCTCAAAGTGCCGGGGCTGTATGCGTGAGCTACCACACCTGGCCTGAGTTTTACATTGTTAAAAATGTTGTTTTAATTTGAATCACCTGAAATGTTTTCCTGTGGCTAGCGGCCACCCTGTAGATAGCACAGTTCTACAACTTTTGAGACCTTCTTCTCATTACCCTCACCTTCTTTCCAGAGTAGACTGAGCACTTGGAGTCTCCTGGCCTTTCAGGCTAGGCCAAACCTCGGTCCCCAGAGCCCAGTGTCGCAGAGGCCATGGAAATCTGACCCACCCAGTCTAGGCAGTGCACAGAGATGGGTGACTCTGTTGTTTTGTTTTTGAGTTGGGTCTCACTGTCTCACCCAGGCTGGCGTGCAGTGGCACAGCCATAGCTCACTGCAGCCTTGACCTCCTGGGCTCAGGTGATCCTCCTGCCTCAGCCTTCTGCACAGTTGGGACTACAGGCACATGCCACACCTGTCTTTTTATAGAGACAGGGTCTCACTATGTTGCCCAGGATGGCCTTGAACTCCTGGCCTCAAGCTGTCTTCCTGCCTCAGCCTCCCAAAGTACTGGGATTCCAGGTGTGAGCCACTGCGCCTGGCCTCTTGGTGACTCCTTCCAAGGGCATTGCTGGCTGGCTGATATGACCTGCAGCCTCTGGCTGTAACCATCATAGCAATACCCTCATTATTGGCGAAGTGGGGCCCACCATGGCCCAGGAGACAGGGCCTGGTATTCCACTGTCTGGAGGAGAAGCTGAGGCTTAAAGACAGATGGCTTTAAAGCTAGCGGGCTGCATGAACCCGCCACGGCCCATCTCACCGTGATGCTAACACTTCAGCCTGTTCCCTTCCAGGCGGTTAGCCTTCTAGAAAGCTGCCTGGCTCCCCGAGTCACATCCATGACATCCATGCTTTGCAGCCACACCTTCCATGGTGCAGGGGCTGACCTCAAGGTGAACTGCTGCCCCAGCGGGGTGGGGAACCAAGGCGGGGCCTGGATCAGACTGACCAGGCAGTGCTCCCAGCGCATCCCTCACCAGGGACCCCCGAGTGCTTCTCTCCCCTGCAGAGCTCCGTTTCCCCATCTGTGCAGCCGGGAAGTTGGACATGGTAGTCAAGTGTCTGCTGGTAACTTTGCCCTCTCTGTGCCCCCAGGTCGGGGCTGCGATAAGACCCGGTCACGGGTGACCCTGCAGGAGTGGAATGACCCTCTTGACCATGACCTTGAGGCCCAGCTCATCTACCGGCACCTGCTGAGCGTGGAGGCCATGCTGTGGTGAGTCCCACCCAGGAGAGCCTGTACAGCCCAGGCAATGTGCCAGGCTGGGGGCTAGAGCTGGGATTCCGGCTTTGGGCTGCTCTGTGGTGGCTGGTCACCTCTAACTGGCCACGTCTGGGGAGGGCACCAAGAATACCTGCCTCTCTGCAGCATGAGGCCAGCTCAGGTTAGGACAGAGGTCCCAAGGGTCCGGGCTGTGCCTACGTGATGCTGTGAGCTGAACCCACCTCACGACCTGCCCAGCCGTCCCACCGGGCCCTTGGAGCACAGGCTGTGTCCGCAGCCACTCCTTGAGTTCCTTGGCCATCTCACTCGTCCAGTGGTTCTCTGCCCTGGCACAAGCTTAGAAAAAACAGGATGTTTTAATGACCAGCTTTAAAAACAGGATGCTGAGGCCCCGTCACTCAGGGTCTCTGGAGATGCAGTGCTACCGGGATACTTCAGGGTGACCCAGTGCCAGCTGGACCAGGAGCTCTTCTATCTCTCACACCCCTACACCCTGCGAGGAGGAAGGGCGTGGCCCTCCCCCTTCCTCATCGACTCTTCCAGGGTTTATCTCTCCCCTCAAAACCCACAAAGGTGGGGTGTGGTGGCTCACGCCTGTCATCCCAGCACTTTGGGAGTCAGAGGCAGGCAGATCGCTTGAGGTCAGGAGTTTGAAACCAGCCTGGCCAACATGGCAAAACCCCTTCTGTACTAAAAATACAAAAATTAACTGGGCGTAGTGGAGGGCACCTGTAAACCCAGCTACTTGGGAGGCTGAGGCAGGAGAATTGCTTGAATCCAGGAAATGGAAGTTTCAGTGAGCTGAGATCACACCACTGTACTCCAGCCTGGGCCACATAGCAAGACTCCATCTCAAAAAAAAAAAAAAATCCAAAGGGCCTTCTGGTCAACCCAGTGGGGTGGGGAGGAGGAGACACTGGAAGGGAGAAGGTGGCAGGCGCCCAGGAGCCGAGGCTGGGCCCATGTTTCCCCTTCATAGACTGAAAGAGTCAGCCCTGCCGTGACTCCTAGAGCCACCTCTAGCCCAGGAGGCCTATGGTGGGCCACCTGGCCTTCCCACAAGGGCACCAGAAGCCTGGCAGGGCAGGTGGAGGCTGACAGTCCTCACTCTGGCTGCCTCCACAGGGAGAAGCACCAGGAGCTGAGTGGGGGTGCAGAGGCCAGCACTGTGCCTGCAAGCCCTGGCAAAGGTAGGTCCTGCGAATCTGGGACTGGCTCCCTGGTCCCAGCCCCCACCAGGGATGTATGGGTGGGGTCTCTGGACCCATTCCCAGGGCCCTCACGGCCGCCTCTGTCCGCAGCCCCCGAGGACTCACTGGCTCAGCTGCTCCGGGTGCTTCGGGACCTCCATGAGGCCCACAGCTCCAGCCCGGCCAGCTCCCCGACCTCAGAGCCCAACTGCCTCCTGCAACTGCAGACGTGAGGCCCGCCCTGCCCTCCCCTTGCTGAGTCCCCGGCCAAGCACTCAAAGCCCCTCCCAGGATGCTCTGTACCCCTCACCCTGGTCCTCCTCATTGGGGTGCAGGGTCCAGGTCTCTTCCAGGTGGGGGAGGGGGAGAGTCAGGGATAAGGGGATCCCCAGAAGTGCAAAGCTGAGCAGGCCTGGCCTGAAGTGTTCCGGCTCCCTACAGCCGCTGCAGCCATCACTGCCTCTCCAAGGACCCTCCTCTCCTGCCTAGGACAGACGCAGCCAGAACTGCCAACAGGACAGGCCACGGCCAGGGGTCTGGGCTCCAGGGACCTAGAGAATGGGAGGGAACAGGAGGCCCAGGAGACCCGACTGCCACCCCACCAGCTCCCCGTGGGTGGCACAGGACTGCGCTGTTGCCAGCAGTAAACCTGCTGTTCCTGCCCAGGCTCTGGGCTCTTGTGATGGGGATCTCGGGAGAAGGTGGGCCAGGGGGACCCCAGAGGCTGCCGGTGGGCTCTGGGCATCCCCGTTCTCCCCTCTTACTTCTCCCTACTCATCTGGGGTCGGGGGCACCTTTCCCTTCCCAGTCGCTGTCCCCACCATGCCCCTGGGACCCCTCTTCCATGCCCCACAGACCACACAGCCTAGCATGTCCATCCAGCTGTTCTCTCCTCAAAGCAGCCCCCAAAAGTCCCTTCTCTAGGGTGTCCCTGAGGACAGCACAGAGAGGCAGGGCTCAGAGACCCCTTTCTCTTCACACAGCCCTTACCCTATGCCTTCTAGGGTGTGGCTGGCAGTGTTGGCCATGTGGGGGCTCCCATCCCCCCACCATTGTGTCACACAGGCTGCCAGGCTCAGCTCCCAGCTGTGTCCACAGTGACCTGGATCAAGCGTGGGGAGAAGGCCTGGACCCCCCTTCCCCAAAAGGCCTTCAGCCCCTGCCTTGCCACGTGGTCACATCCTCCCTCTTTGACTCCAGATACCAAAGGTCCACCCTGGTCCCAGCCCCTTCCTGGCCAGGAGGCTTCTCAGATGCCTTAAGCATAGAGGCCCCGGGCTAGTCTGACGGTCAGCAAAGCTTGACTCTTAGAAGCTTAGATCCCCTCGTGTCCTGGGATCCGGCCTGCCTTTGGTCAGTTCCTATGGTCCCCCACCAACACCCCTCCCACAGGGCTGCCCACCAAGCCCTGCCCCCAGCCCAAGGGGAGCCCCCCCCACTGCCTGCAGGGCAGCAATGCCTGGCCACTGGCTCATACCGCTGACTTGGTCCTGGCATGGCGGAAGCAGCAGGTGACAGGAGCAGGGCCCTGTCCCTCTTTTCCCTGCCCCATGGTCCCAAAGCCACACGTGTGCCTACTCTTGGGGCTGATCTACTGCAGGCCACATGAGGGCAGGGTAGGCAGGGCCTTTGTGCTTCATGAGGACACAGAAGTCCCTGAGGCCCCCAGACCTGGCTCAGCCAACATCCTTCCTCCCCCGGCTGTCCCCCACTCTAAAGCCTCCTTCCTCCCTTTGCCCACTGGCTCTAGGCTCCTCAAAACAGCAGCTCATGGACACAGGGTGCCCCCAAGTGGTTCCTGCCCTCCAGGTGGGGGCTGTTCTCACATCAGCGTGCATCCATCCATTCATTCCTCACCTTATCCTGTTGTCTCTATTTTTTTAAGCTACCAGGAAGGAAAGGGAAGACCAGATCACGAAACTGGGACCCCCAGAGGGAGGAGTGGGCTTGGAATAGGCATCCACCTCAGAGCTCAAATGGGTTTGTTAAAATCACATCCAGTTTTCAGAGGAAGGGGAACTAAAAATTTTGTTGTTGTTGAGACAAAGTCTCACTCTGTCGCCCAGGCTGGAGTGCAGTGGTACAATCTCGGCTCACCGCAACCTCCACCTCCCAGGTTCAAGTGATTCTCCTGCCTCAGCCTCAGAGTAGCTGGGATTACAGATACCCGCCACCACACCCAGTTAATTCTTGTATTTTTAGTAGAGACAGGGTTTCTCCACGTTGGCCAGGCTGGTTTCCAACTCCTGACCTTTGGTGATCCGCCTGCCTCGGCCTCCCAAAGTGCTGGGATTACAGGCATGAACCACCGAACCCAGCCAGAACTTTATAGATTAAAAGAGAGTCGAAGCTGAGTGTGACAGCGTACACCTGTAGTCGCAGCTACTCCGGAGGCCTAAGGCAGAAGGATCACTGTAAGCCCAGGAGTTTAAGGCCAGCCTGGGCAACATAGCAAAACCTAGTCCCTAAAATTTTAAAAAAAAAAGGAAAATAAAGGAGACTTGAGATTTTTGAACTAAATAGAGGTGATGATTACACATTGTGAACGTAATTAACGCCACTGAGTTAAACACTTAAAAATTGTTAAAATGGGGCCGGGCGTGGTGGCTCACGCCTGTAATCCAAGCACTTTGGAGGCCAAGTTGGGAGGATCACCAGAGGTCGGGAGATCAAGACCAGCCTGACCAACAAGGTGAAACCCCATCTTTAAAAAAAAAAAAAAAAAAAAAATTGTTAAAATGGCAAATTTTATATTATATCTATTTTACAATAAAAAGTCTAAAAGAGAAACTTAAGATACTTAGGTGACTTACAGCAACCAATTGCAACAAAATAGGATGTTAAGAAATTACCGTTTTATGAGACTGTTGGAAATTTGAACACTGTAGGATGATTGGAATTATTAATTTTGTAAAGGTGTGATAAGACATTGTACTTGGCTGGGCACAGTGGAACATGCCAATAATCCCAGCTACTTGGGAGGCTTAGGTGGGAGAATCACTTGAGCTCAGGAGTTTGAGACCAGCCTGAGCAACATAGTGAAACCCCCGTCTCTATAAAAAACACACACACACAAAGATACTGCAGTTGTGTTCTAAGAGTCCTTGCCGGGCATGGTCGCTCACACCTGTAATCCCAGCAGTTTGTGAGGCCAAGGCGGGTGGATCACCGGAGCTTGGGAGTTCAAGACCAGCCTGCCCAACGTGTCGAAACCCCGTCTCTACTGAAAATACAAAAATTAGCTGGGTGTGGTGGAGGAAGCCTGTAATCCCAGCCACTCCACAGGCTAAGGTGGGAGAATTGCTTGAATCCAGGAGGCAGAGGATGCAGTGAGTGGAGATCATGCCATTGCACTCCAGCCTGGCCCACGAGCGAAACTGCATCTCAACAAAAAAGTCCTTATCCGTCAGAGCTACATCGTGGAATATTTATGAAATATTTAGGATAAATGATATTTGGGATTTGTAGCAAAATAACCCAGACGTAGAGGTCAGGAGTGGAGGTAGAGATGAGACGAGACTAGCCACGAGCCAATCGTTATGGAAGAGATATTCCGAGTATGTGAGGGCTCCTTATCCTGCATAGTCTGTCTAGCTTTGTGTATCTTTGAACTTTTCAAGAATAAAAAAGCTCAAAAAGTACATGCGTCTCAGTGCTACCAGAGACTCACCCACTGCCACCCTCGAGCCAGGGGGAGCCAAGGTTGCATTTTCACACGCAGCTCACGCTTCTCTGCACTCTCAACTTGGGGAGCCCCAAACAGAGAAACCCACACCCTGCTGGCTTCTGCCAATCCCCTGAGCAGAAACGTGGGTCCCTCTGACCACCAGCTCACCACCCTCAGCCTGACCTCGCTGTACACAGCAAACCTCCAGTGTAATTAACAAGACTGAGGACACCTGTAATCCAAGCACTTGGGAGGCTGAGTCGGGCAAATCACCTAAGTTCAGGAGTTCGAGACCAGCCTAGCAAATCATGGCCAACATGGTGAAAACCAGTCTCTACTAAAAACACAGAAATTCAGGCACGGTGGTGCACACCTGTAATCCCCACTACTCGGGAGAATCGGATTGAACCTGGGAGGCGGAGGATGCAGTGAGCTGAGATCGCGCCACTGCACTGCAGCCTGGGCAGCAGAGTGAGACTCCATCTCAAAAGAAAAAAAAGACAAAAAAACAAGACAGAGGAGGGGCAAGGTCTTTCAGAACATCTTTTTTTTTTTTTTTTTTGGAGACAGAGCCTCACTGTGTCACCCAGGCTGGAGTGATCGTAGCTCACTATGGCCTCCAAGTCCTGGGCCCAACTGATCCTCCTGCCTCAGCCTTCTGCGTAGCTGGGACTACAGGTGTGCACCATCATGCCCAGCTAATTATTTTGTACTTCTGGTAGAGACAGTGTCTCACCATGTTGTCCACGTTGGTCTTGAACTCCTGGGCTCAAGCCATCCTCCCACTTCAGCCTCCCAAAGCGCTGGGATTACAGGATCACCTTGCCCAGCCAGAAGCACATTCTCCAAGCAAACCCAGCCGTCCCTTCTTTGTCCTTGGCGTAGGACAGCCCGCAAAGTCTCAGGGCTCAGACATGACCCCTGACCTAGCTGCCCAGCTAGGCTCTGGGCAGGGCCAGTGGGGCAGGCTGTATATCTTGGCTCTTCCAGGGACCGTTTTGAAGGGCAAATTGGGCCGGGCGAGATGGTTCATGCCTGTAATCCCAGCATTTTGAGAGGCCAAGATGGGTGGATTACCTGAGGTCAGGAGTTCAAGACCAGCCTGGCCAACATGGTGAAACCCTGTCTCCTGAAAATACAAAAAGTAGTTGGGCATGTTGGCAGGTGACTATAATCCCAGCTACTCAGGAGGCTGAAGCAGGAGAATGGCTTGAACCCGGGAAGTGGAGGTTGCAGTGAGCCACTTATCAGCTTCTAACTTATTCAAGCCCATTTCACAGGGGAGACTGGCTCGGAGGTTGCCCGACGCAGGAAGAGCACGGGTGAGTGCTACCGGGAAATGTGCATCATGCAGTAGGGCTGCAGAAGGCAGGGCCTGACTTGGAGATAGTTTTATAACAAACACCTATGTTTGAAGAAAATGGGCTGGGCATGATGGCAGGTGCCTGTAATCCCAGCTATTTGGGAGGCTGAGGCAGGAGAATCACTTGAACTCAGGAGGCAGAGGTTGCCGTGAGCCAAGATTAAGCCATTGCACTCCAGCCTGGGCGACAGAGAGAGACCCTGTCTCAAAAAAATGCAAAGGGGACGTGAAGATGCAAGGGGCCATCCTCTCCCTCTTCCCTGTGGCTTCTGGGGCCATATCAACCCTTTCTCCTGGCGGTGGCCTTGGTGGATACCATATCCCCCATAAACAGCCCACCCGCCCAGCCCCTTAGAGGTTCATACCCTCGTGCTGTGCCATCCTACTTGCCTTCTAAACCTTTTTACAGGACTGGGTCCCTCCCCTCCCTTCCTGGCCCAAGGCCTGGGTCCAAGGGAAGCTGAGCCTAATGCAGCCTCCATCCCCACCCCAAACCACCAGCATCTGGTTCTCTGGGTACTTCCTTAGGGGTTCACAAAAATCCTCATGCCTGTTGGATCTTCTTGGGTTTCAAGGCCCTACTGTCCAGAAAGTATGGACCCAGGGTCTCCTAAGCATTTTTTTTTTTTTTTTTTTTGAGATGGAGTCTCGCTCTGTTGCTAGGTTGGAGTGCAGTGGCATGATCTCGGCTCACTGCAACCTCCACCTCCTGGGTTCAAGCGATTCTCCTGCCTCAGCCTCCCAAGTAGCTGGATTTACAGGTGCGCGCCACCAAGCCCAGCTAATTTTTGTATTTTTAGTAAAGACAGATTTTCACCATGTTGGCCAGGATGGTCTTCATTTCTTGACCTCATGATCTGCCTGCCTCAGCCTCCCAAAATGCTGAGATTACAGGCGTGAGCCAACGCGCCCGGCAGGTCTCCTGAGCCTTGATGCAGGGAGCGAAAGGGAACCAGGCGTGGACTGGCTGCATGTGGAACCCTGGATGTTGAGTGCACACACACAGCCACCCTCCTGCAGTGTCCACCTCTCCTCCCCAGAGCCCGACCGCTGCAGCTGGAGGGGAAGTAAACATGACTGCATGCCGGGCACTGCCCCCGGTTCTCCTCTCAGGCCCTGAGCAGAGCTGCCCATAACCCAGGATGCCACATTGTTTCTGGAAAAGCCAGAGGAACAGGGGAGATTATACCTTCCATCTGCCCCGGAAGTATATACCACCACCCTGCAGAGACTTCAAGGCCTGGTATTCAACTGGGGCCTGGGGCAGGTTCCCAGATGTTTTGCTCTTTTTCTTGAGATGGAGCCTTGCTCTGTCGCCCAGGCTAGAGTGCAGTGGCACAGTCTACTCACTGTAACCTCTGCCTCCCGGATTCAAGCGATTCTCCTGCCTCGGCCTCCCCAGTAGCTGGGATTACAGGTGCCTGCCACCACAGCCGGCTAATTTTTTTTTTCATTTTTAGTAGAGATGGGATTTCACCATCTTGGCCAGATTGCTCTCAAACTCCTGACCTGGTGATCCACCCACTTGGCCTCCCAAAGTGCTGTGATTACAAGTGTGAGCCACCGCACCCAGCCTATTTTGTCTTTTTAGTAGAGATGGGATTTCATGGGGTTTCACCATGTAGGCCAGGCTGGTCTCAAATTTCTGACCTCAGATGATCCTTCTGGCTTAGCCTCCCAAAATGCTGAGATTACAGGCATAAGCCATCGAACCTGGCTTTTTTTTTTTTTTTTTTTTTTTTTGAGACAAAGTCTCCCTCTGTCACCCAGGCTGGAGGATAGTGACATAATCTCGACTCACTGCAACCTCCACCTTCTGAGTTCAAGTGATTCTCCCACCTCAGCCTCCTGAGTAGCTGGAATTACAGGTGCCTACCACCACACCTGACTCATTTTTTAATTTTTAGTAGAGAGAGACAGGGTTTCACCATATTGGTCAGACTGGTTTTGAACTCCTGACCTCAAGTGATCTGCCAACCTCATCCTCTCAAAGTGCTGGGATTACAGGCATGAGCTACCTTGCCCAGTCCCAGAAGTCTGGATGATCTGATTGGACCCCCAGGCAGCTATCTGCAGCACAGGGGCTGGTGTTCGCCACAGAGCAGGCACCCTGGGAAGCCCTGAGGGGCCCCAGCTCATCCAGTGCCTGCTTCTCTCAACCTCTTTGGAAATCTGAACAGATTGGCAGCAACCGCCTCCACACAAAGCCTTGTCAAAGTATAACTTCAAATACATACAAAGAAAAATAGTAATGATTCATATATAGAATGAACACCCATCAAAGATCAATTACACATCAGTTCAGAAGTGTTCGGGAACTCTGAATCATGTATGATTCTGAGAATCTGGGTACATGTATTTCATGTATTTGTAAGTTTTTTTTTGTTTTTTTGTTTTTTGAGACAGGGTCTCATTCTGCCACCCAGACTGGAGTGCAGTGGTGCAATCATAGCTCACTGCAGCCTCGACGTCCTGGGCTCAAGAGATCCTATTGCTTCAGCCTTCTAAGTAAACAGAACTACAGGCACATACTACTATGCGCAGCTGATTTTTAAAATTTGTAGTAGAGACAAGATCTCGCTCTATTGCCCAGGCTAGTGTCAAACTCCTGGGCTCAAGCAATCCTCCCTCCTCAGCCTCCCAAAGAGCTAGGACTGCAGATATGAGCCACTGTGCCTGGCCAGTAAGCATTTTAAGAGAAGCAACCCAGACAAAGATTGTGATGTTAGATACGAACCAGTTAATGAAGTTTTCTTTTCTATGGGATAGAAACTGCAAGTTAATAAGTAACTTCAGTGTCTGGGCTGTAATCAAACAAGCAGGAAAGTCAACACAGCCACAATCCCTGAGATTAGGATCAGCAAACGTTTTCTGTAAAGGACCAGGCATGCAGCTCTGAGTCACAACCACTCTGCCACGTAGCACAAAAGCAACTACAGCCAACGTGTAACAAATCAGCATGGCGTGTGTGGCTGGGGTGGAGCTCATGCCTATAATCCCAGCACTTTGGGAGGCCAAGGTGAGAAGATCACTTGAGGCCAGGGGTTTGAGACCAGCTTGGGCAACAAAGTTGGACCCCCCCCCCCCATCTCTACAAAAAGTAAAAAAAAAATAAATAAATAACTGGGTGCTGTGGTGTCTGCCTGTGGTCTTAGCTATTGGGGAGGCTGAGGCAGGAGGACTTGACCTCGTGGGAGGCCTGCCTCAGCCTCCCACCGTGGTGGGATTGAGCCCAGGAGCTTGAGGCTGTAGTGAGCTATGATGTCGACACTGCACTGCAGCCTGGGCGACAGAGCTGGTGTCACACCACTGCACTCCAGCCTGGGTGACAGAGCTGGTATCACACCACTGCACTCCAGCCTGGGCGACAGAGCTGGTATCACACCACTGCACTCCAGCCTGGGCGACAGAGCTGATATCACACCACTGCACTCCAGCCTGGGCGACAGAGCTGATATCACACCACTGCACTCCAGCCTGAAGACAGAGCTGATATCACACCACTGCACTCCAGCCTGGGCGACAGAGCTGGTATCACACCACTGCACTCCAGCCTGGGCGACAGAGCTGATATCACACCACTGCACTCCAGCCTGGGCGACAGAGTAAGA